ATGAATTGCAGGTTGGGCCCTGAACAAACATCTTTGTTTAGCACATGGTTTCGTGGCGGACTGATGTGCTGCGTCGGATGTGGTGACTGCACGGTGCTCAGGCATTTGATGTGCAACGACGTCCTGCTGGACCGAGCCATACGGATGTTTCCCTGAGCAGCACGATGGTCTCAAGATTGACTTCCACTGGTGGTAGATTTCTCGTTTCGCTTGCCCTGGTGGGACCCCCTTAGGTGCCAAAGACTCGCCGGAAGCTGTGCAGCCCAGATGCCTTCAAACCCTCTCAGCTTGATAAAGGCCTTTTGGGGCCAAGAATCTGTGCAGATGGATTCAATAGCCCTGGTCACTGCAGAAGCCATTCAGATACTTTAAAATCCAGAAATTCCCAAATCATTTCGCCCTGTGATGTGTGACACTATTCCTGAGCAGCCTCTAGCAGGGAAAAAGCACCCAAACAGGCGCAAATACGCTCAATTACCAGCGAATGCCCTCGAAAATCCAGTAAAAAAAGGCGCTGTTAAGCTCTCTCAGTTTCGCGGGCTCTAGAGAATAGGTTGTTGACTGATATTTGGGCTGGGCCGGATTATTCTCGTGTGTTCTGGATTGGTCTCTGGATGGGAAAGAGCAACAGAGCCCTTGCCTTCAAACACCTGGTTAAGCTGGTGGCCCCCCTGCCGGGGCCACCAGGAGGGTGAAGCAGATGACTATTGTATGAGATGCTCTGTGGAGCTGGGAGGGCGATGCTGATATCCCGATACCATCTTGTTTCCGAGCCGAGCCCGGTGCTAGATAGTCGCGGAAGTTTCGGGGTTTCGCTGTCGGTGTGGGCCCGATATCCACAACAGACGGACTCACACATGTTGGGCATCTAGGAGCGTAAACAGGGGTCCTGTGTTTGAGGATGATCCACGGGGCGTGCCGCCGCCGATGCTGAAGTGCGCGGACAGCTGCTCTCCGAAGCCCTTTCCAATCTATAGATAGTTTGTTTAGAGTCCAGAAACAAGGCATGAAGCAGTTGGTTACAGTCCTGGAACGCTGCTGGTGTCTGAGCAGCCCACAGAGGCTTGCTCTTGCCCGCTCGAGGATTTCATGACGAGCATGGAGCACGACGTCTCGCAGGCTTCGCCTGGCGTGCGACGGTGTTCGCGCAGTCCTGTATCTTGTGGGACCGTGGGGTGAGCAGAAGTACTGTGGCTGTGCAGGTTCTCGATGCCTGCGAGCTTCCTCACAGCCTCAAGCTCAGTTCCAGCTGTGAAGTTATGAGCACCAATCCCTTTGAAATAGCTGGGCCATCTCAGTTGGCAGAATGCAATGCAAATTGAATGCGTTTGTAATGGCTGTTTCTTGCAGCAGGCGGTGGATGCAAACCGTCCATCCCTGTGTAGCCTTTTTCTATTTCATCGGCCTGCATGCAAATGCCAGACGTAAGTGACATCTAATATAGGGGCCTAAATAATTACCCAATACTATCTTGGTGGTTCCTCATTTAAGTATAGTATAGCATACCCCACAACCCTGTTCTAACTGTTATGGCCCCTATAGTAGGCAAACTGGCACATGCACATCACGTCATAAAACATCTGGTCCTGGCTCTGGCCAGGCCTAGACCAGTTCCGGGGCAGTGGTAGTTTCGGGACGGAGTCCGTGTCTGTTTTGGTTGCATTTCTGCGAAGTGAAAATGCATCGAAAATCCACCAAGACAAGCCGAGTTCTCAAGCTAAAGCTTGGGCGAGCTTACATGGTTATTACGTCACACCACAGAGCATGCTTGATGCGAACTCTGCGCAAAGACAGCTTACATCTTCAAGTTTAGTCGCTCGTTTACAAATCGAGCAGCTGCGGCGATTTGTCGTATGCATACCCGGCATCGTGCCATGGGACGAAGCATGACGACCCTTGAATTACTGGCCCAAAGTGAAGAAGTTCTGGCGAATTCTCGACAGCTTTTGCGCCAAAGATCGCACAGACGCAGTCATGACAGCGATATTCATATCATGAAAAGCTACTCTGGACCGGGTTGCTTAGTTATCATTATTAGTAGACCTGAAAAGATTGCATGTAATTCGAGAAGTGTACCAAGCAAGTAGCATCACCGTGAGTCTCGAGCCTACTCTGTGCTTCAAGACGTGTCGGGTCTCTGAATGGACGCGTGGCCCAGGTCGGGGAACTATAGTTGGCGGTGCCTTCTTTCCGCTGTCTAGTGACGTCCGCAGCTCATTCTTGCTTTCCGGACAGCAGTAACATAGGGGCCTTAAATTGATTACCAACACTATTTCAGGGGCTCCTGAAAAATTATGATATAGTATACCCCACCCTATGCCCTATAGACCCCTATTCTAATTGCCAAGGCCCTATAGTACGCACCTACAGAGGCCAGGAAGGCAAGATCTGTCTGGTGCTGAGGCGATGAAGGCGGTTTTCAGCGTCGAAGATCCCGACGCATGCCGTGGGCTCAAGTGCTTCGGGGTGCGAGTTGGGCGAATTTAGGGTTTGGGGGTTTAGGGTTTGGGAGGAACTATTACTCCTGGCTGCTTAGTGTGCGTCGTCTTGCGGTGTCGTGCGCAAACCGCTTGACTCCTCCGAAAGGCGGCTTTGGGTATCGGTGCTGCATGTCGGCCTCGGTCAAGATGATTGTGGGTCGTAGACTGGCTAGAGTCCAGTGGCAAAACGGGAGGAACTACTAGGGCAGCGGCTTATCAATCGAGCAACTCCAACTCGAGATGTCGAACTGGAGTCCGAGGTTTTGGCACATGAGCGTCCCTGGACTGTCCGTTTGGACTTCTTGTGTTCTGTTGCAACACCTGCCACTCTTTGACTGACTCCAAGAAAAACCGCTATCCCCCTTCGCCCTCCTGATTTTTCTGCGTCAGGTGCGACGTATTTCCGAAGGACCAAGCTCTCAGCCTTCCAAAGCTGGAAGCGGGAACCCCAGAAGAAAGCCAAGGGCCAGTGAGTTTTGAGTGTAGGTGCCGTTGATGTCACTGAGCCAGTGAGTAAGTGTGTGGCAGGGAGAGTCTACCGAACTCTCTGGTTCCCGAACCCTTTCTCCGTCAGCCTCGGCCGGAATTTTTTTAGCTCCAAAGCCCCGCATCTCCCGGGCAAACCCATAGCAGTCAGCCGAAAATATCGCATAGGTATCGAGCGGCTGCCGCGGCGGGGTGGCGTGTGTTGCCGGCACGTGGCGCATTGGGTTCCAGCATCGTAGGAGACAGGTTGGAGATGTGGTGGCGATTTGTCTGAACACCCGGCGTGCGTTGATCTAAGCAGGGAGATTGACTGTTGAGTTTTGTCGTGCAAGGGTCTAGAGTCTATAGCGTCTTGCAGGGTCTGCAGGCTCTGGAGTTCAAAAGTAGATTCTTCTTGTAAGGGGCTGATGCGAATCCGAGTTCGGACATGTCGCGGTTCTAGCTCCCATAGCATGGTGTCAGCGTAGAAAGCAAGAATCAAAGAGACACTAAACAATGAACCTTGAACCGTAAACCCTCAACCGGTTGCCTCAACCGTGCCTTAGATTCCCAAGGCGCAGGTCAAAGCACCCCTGAGGTTCCCCACACCCCACCGCCTGAGTTCCAAAATGCGCACAAGGGCCCATCCTCCAGAGAGGCGGACACAAAGGGGATTGGCGACTGCCCGATGCAAGGCGCGAAGAGGACGCAACAGCGTGGAGACTCTGGGGCGATTTCGGTTGACTGGAGGCCAAAAATGCGCAAGTGACTCTTGCAGGAACACGGTTCCCACCCCAGCAACAGTATGCCCTGTGGCGGGAGTCAAGTTCGCGGCAATGTCTTGGATTCCACCCGGAATTCGGCCTCCAAGGAAACGAGTTTAGTCGACGATGTTCATCGCGGTACGAGGGGAGTTGCGGTCGAGAGCACGCACATCGCTTCAAACTGTTGTCACGGTTTGTGGCGCATGATCTTATTGCCCATTCTTCGCGGAAGTTTTGTTTTGATGGGTGCAGGTTTGAATGTGATTCGCCCCCCGGCGCGGAGTTCAAAACGAATCGGAGACGGCTGTCCAAGTCTTTTCGGCAGAGATTTGGTGGTGCCGCTTGCTGATAATTACTGATTCCTATTATCGAAACTTGCCCCTGTGCTGCAGTCCTACGCGAAGTTCTCTTTGGTTTGAACAGTACGTGATCCAATTTCGTCTTCTGCGTGCCAGGTTTATGCCGTCAACGCTCCTGATTGGCAGCGGCTGGACGACTTCGAACAGAAGGCAAACCGAACAGTCAAGGCAGATATGTGCTTGCATGCCTACCCTGCTTCGGTCGGATGACAAGGCAAGGTCAACCGCACTGTGCCATGCAGGTGTTTACTCGCAGATTAGCACGGCAGGTGCCATTTGTCAAAGAGCTTCTTCAAGGTCCTCCAGTTGCCACGTCCTCGAAGCAATAAGACCGGCAGCGGGAGTTCGATTCATGTGGCATGGAGGGTTGTCTGCTCAGCCTGCGGAATGCAGATGATATGAGCCTTTGCCTGAGGATGTGGAGGCTCTGGACTGAGCGCGTCGCATTCAAACATGGCAAGCACGGCGCCGCAGTGCAGCACAAAATTTCCCTTGCAAGGGCACCGGCCCCATAGTCAGGAATGGACACTCCCCAACGAAGCCAAGTGCCGACAGTTCACAGCTGTGTGCAGGGGAAAAACCTGCCTTTACAACTGGCTCCGCTGCCCTCAACTTGTCGCATGTCTGCAGGTTTAAGGCTTAAGGGAGTTCCATGCATGCAGGCAGTGCGAGAAAACCCACATGTTTTCAAGTTTCGGCAATTGTTTAGAAACCAACAAGTTGAACCTCGAGCTGTAGTTTCTATTTGTGCTGAGAGATGCACACCCATTGGTAAGCGCCCACAACATGTGCAAGTGACCGGATATGGCTCCGGTGCCGTCCACGCATTTTTGAGGCGGCGCAGGCAGGTGAAGGTCGTAGTAGTCACAGACTGAAGTTACCAAGCTAAGCCCTTGAGGTCAGCAATAGATTCGTGAAGCGTGGCAGGACTGATGGAGCTGTCCGTGGACCCAGACGACCGGAAGGGCTTCAGCTGGAGCCGGACCTCTGAGCTAGTTCATTCACACTGCTCGACAGGAAGTACCGGAATCGACCGGCGCTGTCTGTAGACAGACATAGTCACGCACCGTATCGCCGTATCGTCACTGGCTTCCGCTTTTGTTTATCGCTGGTTCATAAAACTATTTGTCGCCACGTACTGCCATGCTGCTGCTGCTGCTGCTGCTGCTGCTGCTGCTGTCGGTACTGCTGGACTGCTGCCGCTCAGGTTCGGAACTACAGTACTTATCCATAGCTACAGTAGCATCTACAAGATTGCGCAACCAGTGAGGACCGCATTTGCCAATGCCGCTCGCAGGGTCAGCAGCAGCATCCCGGATGCACCAAGGCTTTGCATGAACGCAGTTGACCTTCCAAGATTAGCTTCTTCGGGTCTTGAGCTCATGATAAGCCCTGATATTAACCCAGTGCTCACAACAGCTCAAGAACCAGTCAGTTTATGAGTTCTTCGCCCAGTGCTGGCAGACAAACTTAGATATGTCCTGGCCCCTTTAAGCCTTTAAGCTGGACCTTGTCCGTAGAACCAGCCCGAAGCCGACCCAGCTAGAGCCAGAATACTCTCCGTCTGCTTTGCCAGGTGCATGTCTGAAACAGAAAATCATGGCCCCACGCAGCCCCTTCCTGCCCTCCGTCCCCTCCCTCCGATTACAAAGTATACATACATGTACTATGTTATTACATATGTGTTTATAATAAACAAGTGTGTATGTATATATATATATATATATATATATGAGACTAAGACTAATCGGATTTATTAGATCGCTCCGAGGCCAGTCGGCCCCGCAGGCTCGAGCCGAGCCGGCATCGAGTCCAGCCGAGGCCGCCCTGCAGGGAACCTGGAGATTCCAATATATAACTTAATTAAGGAATATACTCCTAAGGGTTCCTTAAAGGGATCTATAAGGGTTCGAGGGAATTAAGGAATGTACCCTAAACTATAGTAGGACCCCTAAGATGATTTCAGGTATATTCCCTAATTAAGGGATATTGGAGTTTCTGGGAAAGGACAGAACACCAAGCCGAATATGGGGGCCTTAACAATACAAAGAGTAGGGGTTCCTTTAAAGGGATCTATAAGGGATACTACAAGGGTACGATGATGTAGGGGCCTTATTCGCTAGAATCCTAGAATAGGATTTGGGGGTATATAATAGGATAGTTTTAACGCTATGCCGCCCGCCTCGGCTTGGCGGAGAACCGTGACAGAACTCATCGACTTGCTTCTGTAATGTGAAAGAGCAGAGCGCATGCAGAAGTGAGGGAGGGGGGAAGGGAGCGGTTCGAGGGGGGCAGGTGGAGGGTACCTGAGCTAACCCCCAAGACGACTGGGCCTGTGGCCTCGGCGGACTATAGTACTACCCAAAACAAAAAGTATAGGTAATCATGAAGGCCTCTATCTCAAGCCCTGAACTCTAAACCGTTTGGCTCAAAGCATTTTTCTTTCATTCAGAGCTACAGTAGAGACGCTATGGCAGCGTCTCAGCAGCATCCGAGGCCGCAGAAGCCTGAAGCAAGAACCCAAAAGCGGCACGGCACATGCAATACCTTAGCTTTGTTATTTATGTGTATGTGTCGAAAGCCTCACAAAAAAACCTCAAGTCAAAGAGCAGCTCTAGTCGTGCCGACGACGATGTCGACTGCAGGGGCGTACTACGGATCCTACTCCGAGCCGCGACAACACACCGACGAAGTGCAGCGGTATGTTTACCGAGCATTGCGGCCAGACGAGGACGTCATAGCAGGCCTGCGGGCATGGGATCCTGCCGCCGATCGCACAACGGAGCAAGCTTTGGCGGAAGGTGGAGTTGCAAACCAGTTCTTGCACACGACACTCTCGCCAGAGGTGGCGCTTTACTATGCAGAACACACGACCAAGAAATCCAAGCAACAAATTGTTGAGATCGACTTGGACGGCTTCGGTGGCGAAGTCATTGACGTTTCCGATTCATATGGCTGCAGCCGTCATGGCATCAAAAACCACAAAGCATTCCATTTCGCTGTGCAGCACAAGGTCGTAATGCTCAAGGGCTACGTCAAGCCTTACCGGCTTTGCAAAGTACTGAACACAGCCCCCTTTCGCTCGAATATTTATGGCTATCCGTCCTTCGAAGACTTCGTTTACAAGCTGCCACGGTCAGTTTTACGGGAGCTTCAAAGCTACTGGAGGCTTGATCCAACCTGGGCAAAATGCAGAAAGCTGCACATGCAAGAAGCACCGGACCAAGCGTGGAAGGATGACGATGCTGTCCAAAGCGGCGTCTTACAACAGGAATCAGAAAGGCTGGCAGAGCAGATAGCCAAATTGGAGGCACAGAAAGAGCTTGTTGACTCACAGTCGCAGCAAATTAAAGAGCGGGCTGAGAGAGAAGCTCGTAAAAGAGAAGAGGAGCGGCTGCAGCAGCTTGAACAGGAAAGAGCGGAACAACAACGGCTGGAACAGCGGAAAAGGAAGCGTGAAGAAGAGGAACGTCTCCAGCAGAAGTATCAGGCCGAGCAGCAGAGAGGCTCGAGAATCTGGGCGCGATGCACTGCGCAAGACCAGCTTCTTCAGGAGTTTGACAGGGAAGCCCTACAGGTGGCTCTCGGGAAGTCGGGATACATTACGCTTTGGGACCGTGCAAAGGACCATGCCTGGTCTGGGATCCCAAACTCATTGTACAACAAGATCAATAGTCGGGGGTATCATCAGTCGCATGCCACACTGGTGGCACTGAGTCCAGATTCAGACAACTACTACGTGCAGTTCAGCGATGAGTCAGCCAGCTGGGTTGGCCCAGACAGCTTCACGAGCGCCATACAAAACAGTGGACGTTTGTCAGTGGTTGCTTTCGGTCCGAGGGGCTCATGGTTTGTGGGTTGGCCAAGTGGTGCATGGGAGCACGACGGTCTGCCGAGAAGTCTTTGCAACATGCTGAACTCTAACAGACATCGGTCTGTTGCCATACTTAGTGTCTCTGGCAAGCAGGATGAGGAAGATTCCAGCGAGATAGACGATTTTAACGAACTTATTCTCGACCGAGATAATTCGAGAGACTCCGAACCGGCGTGGTTCATTCGCTGGGAAGATGGAAAGCACCCCGCTTGGAAGCTAATGAATTCACCTGCAGACCTCTCAGAAACGGTGGACGAGGTGCAGCGACGCGGTGTTGTGCGAAGCATCGAGTTCGGAAAGCATGGTGAGTGGGTTCTCCGTTATTCAGAATAAGCTCCGCAACACAATTGTTTTGTGCTGAGCTGAGCTGTCTTTCGCAGTAGGTCGTCCGGCTCAGCCGCAGCTCGATCCAAGATCGCACGTAGGATTTTTCGTCCTCTTGGCATGCGGGCTGCCCTCAGTTCAGGGAACGAAGGTTCGTTGTCCTTCGTCAGTTTTCCTAGCATCATCGTGGCCCAAGGGCGAGGTCGAGTTTAAAGCCAAGCCTTGTAATTCGGTCGAATCTGTACAGGAGTGCTCGCCCTCAGCTGCAAGCGTCGGGGTTGCGTGCCGTATCAGAGCATAAAACATCGTTCGAAACAGCACGAAAGCAGGCAGTGAATGTGCTGTTACTATCGATCTTGGCGACACGTATTTTCACTTCCACTGCAAGGTTGGATAGCACTGAGAGTGGTCGTGCGTACGATCCCATATTCCTAGACCTCGGAGGCTGCGGTGAGCCAAACTGTGTATTTGTTTGGATATTTCCGCTTGGTTTGTTGAGCTGGCTCCTTTGGAGCTCTTGCTCTGGGCACTTTGGCAGCCTCCCATCCTGTGCTACGCAAAAGCCATGTTTGTTGTGGAGTGGTCTATGTTCTTAGGTTCTTACATGTTTCAGGTTTGTGGTATTGCCTTGCTTATTTGTGCATGCTTTCCTATGCTAGTACTAAGCCTATGTAGTTGGAACCTTCGCCTGAATCTGTGCCTAATTTGAGCGAGTGTGCGAATCGAAACCGTAGCCTTCACCACTTATGCAAGAAGCCTCAGTAATGTAGGGGCCTTGATCATTGGAACAGCGTTCGGGGGGTATATGACACTAGAATCATAATCAGGAACCCCCAAAACCCTTAATTCTAACTGTTAAGGCCCCTACATTTGCCTCCAAGAGCCTCCCTGGAGGCCTCAAGGGGCCGCGAAGCCACGCTGCAAGTGCACCCGCAGCTGGGCGCCGGACTCGAGGCTGGCAGATGGCTCTGTCGGATCATACTGTGACATCTACCTAGAATCGAGGAGAAGACACTGTGTGAAACATATGATGAGCCCAAGAGAATGTTGCATGGACGAATTCCGGTAGCACGCAGCATCGGTGTAGAACACAATGCATATATTGGCAATGCACGGACGCATAAGAGGAAGGGTAAGCCTAGCAGAAATAGTAACGGATGACGATGGTGGATGTAAGACCAATGGCAGTAGCGCTTTCGATTTAGAGCTGGGGCATTGCGGCTCTGGGTTGGGCGGTCAGGGGATGGGGCCCTTCGAATGAAAGCCCTGACCATGCAAAGTTGCTTGACCCGTTTTCGGACGAGCACAAGGGATAATTCAGCGGCCATGCAACGGCAAGAAGCTGCTTCAGTCAGGGGCTCAAGAACTGATTCAACTCTTGAAGGGATTGGAAATCGTCATGGCGGTTTGAATTGAAGGTTCAATACGCTATGATACGCTATGCATGTTACGCCATCGAGCTGAATTTACGTGTAGAAGCATTTCAACAGGCCGAAGATCCGGTCGCATGAATACCAGGACATGCGGTGTTAGCAATTAAGCCGCCATTTCACCGAACCTTCTAGGCCCAAGCTCAAGCCAGTTTTGCCAGTCGTTATTGCTCCTGCCTCGAGAGCAGACTGCAAGAGGTTAGCTTCGTGGCCGGCCGTGGCTACGTCCTTGAGCCCTTGGCATGCATGTTAGCCAGAAGCTCCAGTGCATGAGCAGATACTGTTGCTGCAGCTGGCATGGCGAGACGGACTAGTATGCATGGAGAGCTACATACAGTGGTGTCACCAGGCCAAATCCCGCCAAGGTCCATCAATGATCAGCCGGGGCAGAAAGGCCTAGAAGTCGGTGACCTCCTTGTGGAGGCCTGTGTTTGGCAGTGTGGGAGGTGGAGGAACGCAGGGACAAATTGCGACGGGTTACAGCACGCATCTGGTCTCCCTCCCTGCTACTATAGGAACAATAGGAGGTACTAGGATAGGCCCATGTGCCTCTCAGAATGGCTGCAAGCCCGGAAGCTACACATCTATCTCCATGTTGACAAAACCCACGTATAGTTCCTGCAGCTGATAACTCTCCCAAAAAGTCCCTAAACCCCTAAAAACCGTGCGCGGCATGCGGAGGTCGGCGGGCGCTCCCTGGCGCTGGCCTCCGAGGCCTGGCTCGGCCAAGCTTACTTGGAGGGTCGGGGGACTTAGTAATTGGTTATTTTGGGGACTTATAAGTACCATAACCCCCTTTTAGGGTACTTATAAGTCTACTTACTACCTACTTGCTAAGTCCCCCGACCCTCCAAGTAGCAGGGGAAGGCCGAAGTCGAAAGCCTGAAACCAGGACTAAGCTCTAAAGAGTTCTCATAGATCCCCTTCAAGCTAGGTGTCTGGACTCTTTAGCCACGGGCTACAGGAGTGCCACTGAACCCAGCCCTTAAGCCGTACAGTACCTGAAGCAGAATAATATATATATATATATATATATATATATATATATACACATGTATATGTATGCATGTATGCATGTGTACATACTTATCCATGTATATATGTATATATACATATAACATAATATATATATATATATATATATATATATATATATATATACATACGCACAAACGCACAGACACACACACGCATATATATATATATATATATATATATGTGTGTGTGTGTGTGTGTGTTTATACTTATCACATACCATGCAGCATAATAGAAGTTTGAAAAATGGACTTGCAGGATGAAGCCGACGAGGTGCTTTCTGGGGAGCTTCGTGGCTTCGCTGCCAAGAGAGTTTCAAAGCCACCAGCATTTTCAGGGCAAGGACAAGAGCTTAGGGCTCAGGGTTTACAGTAGGGTTTAGGGTTAAGTAGTGGAGCTTGTATAGTCTTGCCGGCTCGGGGAGCCTGATAATGGAGAAGACGAGGCTATGTAGAGTTGAAAAGCTTTGCTTTCGGAGCTAGGTTTAGGTAGTCAGGTAGTCCTGGCATGCACCACACAACTTGCTGGTGAGGCTCAACACTGTTCGTGAAGGTAAACGGATCAATGAAGCATGCTTTTGCACCTTAACCCTAAACCCGTAAACCCTAAAGGCCCCAAACCCTCTTCCAAAAGCGCCAGCTGCGTCCCAGGAGATGGTGTTCGTTTGCGTTTGCTTCCCGCATCAACAAGCCGTTCTACACCACAGGCTGCCACCAGTTGATACAGCAACTGAGACCTGAGACATCCGGTGGTCCCAAATGGACGAACAAGATTTATCATTATGTAGGTTCGAATTGAACCTCATCAGCTCCTCCGCCAGCTCCGTGCATGTCCTCCTCTCTGTGTCCACGATGTTCGCCGGCATGGTCGGCCGAGTGTGCGAACTCCGTCACTCAAAGCTTTGATCGCTCTCATTGGTATGTTGCGACGCTCTAAACTGACCGACATGGCTCCGGATGCACACCCAAATCGACCCCAAGTCCCCATGCCAAGCCAGCGGCACACATTTGTGAGACCTGACATATCAAACCTTCAAGATACTGCAATCGGCTCCTAAACTTGCAAGTCTCGCGACCAACGAGAAACGGCTCAAGCAAACATCGATGCATCAACTAAGTAGATCGGACGAATTTCAAACCGGACAAGCTCTGCAGGAAGCCAACAACAACCAGAGCCACGGCGATCTGCCGCAGAAAGATGCGACGAAAGAGGTCGCTCGTTGGTAGGGAATGGGCATTTCCCTGGGCTCCATGAGTCTTGAACCCAAGCACAGCAGCTATCAGTTGTGAATCGTATTCGATGTGAAGGGCTCGAAACTCGAAGCTGTGGCTGTAGCTGTCGCGAAGCCGCGAAGCCGCAGACTCCCAACTCGCACAGGTCAGTGAAGAGGTGAAGCCCGGTTCGCACGATGCCTTGGCCGGCTTTCTGAGCAGTCTATTCGGAGGTGCCACGGTCGCCCTCAGCTCTTTCAGACAAGTACAACGGAAGACTACGGTGATGGTTGCGTAACATTGGCGTGGGCTCCTACTTGTATCAGGTTTGCAGAAGGCTGCTACAAATATCATGTTGACATGCTTCCTGCTTCGTACCTTTGCCTGCCCCGGACATTTACAAAAAAACATGCAAGTAAGCGTGTTTGGTTTGCACCGGCCTTGCGAGAATCCCTGATATGGAGACTTGCAGCAGCGTTGTAAGTGTGCTGGTCGTGGCCGTACTACTTGTAGTGGCACTCTGGTAACGGATAGATATACAGGCCACGAGATTCGTTGCCCGCACGAATATGTTCGAGGCGATGTGAGACCGCCATGGTTCGCGTGAACCTGTGTGCACACCAGCGTAACTTAGGCTCGAGGTCTGGTTGGCTATTCGAGTTCCCCTGCAGTTCAAGTTTTGTGTCTGTTATAACTTTGGATGCTTATCTGTGCTCCTGCGCACAGTGTTCATACAGGTGCCCAATCTTCTGGTGCAGCCTTGGCTGGCAGTTCGGCGCTGATCCACAGCTAAAACGAAAGGAATCGCAGGAATTGGGTTTCCCGGTCCGAGTAGTGGACGCGAGTTATTTTCATGCACAGGGCACCGTGCTTAAGGCATGTTGCAAACCTAACGGATACTGGCTGGGGCTTGGCTATGTCCGCAACGACTATTCAGGAAGTCGTTCCAGGGGACTGATCCATTGCAAGTCCTGATTTTTTTGGGTTTTCGATGCTTCAATCCAGATGGACAGACTTCATGCATCAAAGGAACGACCCAGCCCCCCAGCCGGATGTGGACGACGAGGTTGGGGGTTTCTGTTTGGGGTCACACCTTCATTGTCGGCATTTGGACTTCCGGGGCAGATGTTGTCGCTGATGTAAGCTGCAATTAAAACGAAAGGACGACTTGTTGTTTCGCTGCAGCAAAGTGATCTGCGACGAACTTGACTGGCACGTTGTTTTGACTTTGCAAAGCACGGGACAAGTTCCAGCGCCGACGCCAAACTAATTTCACAACATTTTCGCCAGGAGGCTGCCGACGAGCTTGCAGAACCGACTCAGAAGCACCGGCAGACGTCGAATTCTGAAGCGGGTGAGGAGTCAATTGATTGCCTCCATTCGTTCACACAGCCAGCATGTGCTCCCAAGGGATGGGAGATGTATGGGGTAAGGCGGTCATCACCAGATCTGAAGGCTTGCTTGAAGGCATAGGCATTTTTTGGTAGAGGGGCACCACAGATCGTGCAAACAGAGGAGATCCTTGGCGTCCCTCCGCTGCCAGAATCTGGTCCCGAGCCTGCCGAAGAAAGCTGGCACGAGGACTGTAGTAGAATTCGCCGCAGGTCTTGGTGTCGCTCACTTTCGAAGTCTCTTGCCATAAGTGCTCGGCAAAATCTGGCTTCAGGCTGGTTTCGTTCCACTGAATGCTAGTTTTGCCACCTTTGGAGGCGCCCAGCCCAGAGCCTGAAGTGGCTCACTGGGAGGCTGCACAGGCGCAGTCGAAATGCGCCCTGCTTTCTGCAATCAAGGGCTTCAGCTTTGCTCGGGCAGCCAAGAATGTCGGGCAGTTTGGGTCAAGCGGAGGGTCTTGATGAGTCGGCTCATGCTCTCAAAAAGCGTGAGTGCAGAGTGCACGCACCATTCGTCTAAGTGCTTGGTACTCACCACAAATGGGCCAGACGACGACAGCCACTGCTGCTGCTACTTCTACTGACAACTACGACGACTACTAGCACTAGCACCAGCTCTCCTGCTGCTATTTCTACAGCTGCCTGCTTGTTTGTCTGCTTATCTACGACCGTCTGCCCGCAAGAACGGGCATCATTTCTGTGGCACTGGGCCGTTCTTGGATGGTATCGGATACGACTGGGGATGTCGTTTCCCATGCAAGCATCTTGTACGACAGGATGGCGAGCACCATCTTTTCGAAACCAGCCAAGAACGTACAACGTACTGCAGGCTGCGAAATCGCGCTTGACTTCATTCGTGTCCCGTAGTCCTGCATCCAAACCAAATGGGGAAACCTTTGGCCTACGGCTTCCCATGTGCTCTGCTTGCTGCTGTGCCGTGCAGACTCCGAGACAGCGATAGCTCCTGTCCTCCTCCATGTGCAGGAGACCCGGAAGCCCGAAGCAGAGGAGGATGCCGAGGAGTTGATGGCTTTCCAGCCCTTGCATGCCGCGAGCACTACAGAGCGGCAGGCATCTCAAGTTGAGTCTGGGGTTAATGGAGTTGGCAACACTGCTCCCAGTGTTTGTCGCATCTTGTTCGGGGTTCTGCAGGCAGACGATGACCCGGCAGAGTCCCCTCGCTGAATGGCAGATTTTTGACTTTGTGTGAAAAGGTGTCAGCTTGATCGGCCAATTAGCGGAATCACAGGCTGCAACACTGTGGCATTAACCACCTGCATGCTCTGTAGCACGTGCCAACTTACGGATCTCGGTCGGTCATTATCGATGGGATTTCCATGCTAAGGGAACCCTTATAAGTACCCTTATGCTAGGAGCGATGACCAACCGACTGTTTCTCGGCCTGGTCTCGCAGTCAGTGAGACATAGATGACACCTCGGGCATGATCGACACCATCAGCTCAAAAGATGTGAAGCACCGAGGCACACAAAGTGCTTCGAGTCCTTTACAAGTATTAGTATTAAATTTGTATTGGTATGAATACTAATATCAGTGTTACTATTCGTCTTTATATCAGCCTTAGTCTTAGTATTAGTATGAATATTAGTATCAGTATTGCGATTAAGTATTCGTATTCGTATATAGCCCGGGCTGAGGTCCCTGCCTCCCCTCCCGTCCCTCGCCTGGTCGGGCCGCGGGCACCTGGCGCCGGCAGAGGCCCAAAAGCCGAGACGAAAAGGAGCCGCACAATCAACTCGTCCAGTTTCAGGTTTGCCAGGTGATGAGGGAAATGAAGAAGAAAACGAGCTCTGCTTCTTGCGAATCTGACAGGATTTAGGCACTACCTCAGTCTGTCCCTCCTTTCGTGCACAGAGGGCTGGGTGCCCTGCAAGTCTAGCTTCGTTGGCATATTGCATGTCGCAGACTTCCAATCCAAGAGCGAGGGAGCCAGCCAGTCAAGATGTTCGCACGTGGGAACTGTGCGGGGATTGAGTTTTGCTATGGCTTAGGCTGATTCTCCTAAAATGAAGTCCCAGAACCTTTACTTCTGAACTCAGCTCAGCAGGCAGACGCGGCGGAGACTCAGAGTGAGGCGTCAGCCTCACGAAGTGAGATGTTGGTTGCCACTTCAGCGGCACCAATCAGATCCAGTGGGCAATCTTGAAGACCATAGGGGGACTAAATAATTACCAATGCTATTTTGGGGTTCCTTATTATAATTATGAAAAAATGGGCACCAAAACCCTATTGTAATTATTAAGGCCCCTATATTAATCTCCAGCCCAATTGTTTGGGAGACTCGGGTATTTTCGAGATGAGTGACTCGCCCCACTCCGGCTTGTTTGTCCGAGTGATCGAGCCTCACCACATTCCGAGAACGGAAGCCCGAAGTTGGAAAGCTTGCCCATGGCATCAACTTGGACACAACCCGGGAGAGTGCCATTGCAAATATGATTGCTTTGTAGCAACTGAACAAACATCCACGTATGTTTGACTACATCTCTTGTCATCCCCTCCCAATTTCAACTGTGCTTTCCACTGCATCATACTAGGCTCAGCCTTGTGCACAAGAAGACCCTGCATGAGCCCGGCATTCAAGCCTTGCCCAGACTTGAACTATTTGTACAGCTACTACCAAAGACTTTCTGCGTGCCAGGCAGTAGCGGCGACATCACGAAGAACCCAGAAAAGATCCCCTAATTAAATATACCTTGAATCATAATTAGGGATCCTACTATAACATAATGTATAATCCCTATAATCAATGGATATTGGAGCCTCTGAGAAGGGTCTGCGCACTGGGATCCGAGGCCGCAGCTCCACAGAGCCAGGGCGTCGTTTCGGCGCCGAGGTCGAAGCGAAGCTGGGCTTCGTCGTGGCATGTACTGTAGGGGCCTAAGCAATACCAACTACCAATACTATTTTGGGGGTTCCTTGTTTTCATTATAGTAGAATGGCTCCAAACTCCTATTCCAATTATTTTGGCCCGTATATTCTCTTGCATCTCCTATCGAATGTAAGTTTCTTTCGGGTCTCGTGGCTCGTGGCCCAGCAATTGTGACGTCTTAACTTCCTGCAACCAGTGCCCATAGCCCACATCGCATGCCGGCCTCGACAAAGCCAAGGAGCACCGGATCCCGGCGCTGCACGCTGCAAGGTTGCAGACCTTCGTGAGCCTCGGCATTACTGGAGGTCGGAGGATCGTTTGGAGAGATTTTGTTCCCGGGCTTTGGCACTTCTCGAAATAAAGATGGGTGTGTCAGATGTTGCTTTGGGGAACTTGCGCGCTGCAGGCAGGGTGGGGCTAGGCTAAGTGCTCTCCGCCTTGGTGCGAGCACACCAACCTGCCACTGAACAGTTGCATTACGGAAGCAAGCTGGAGCTCAAGCGGAAACGATCGTGGATCGCGCGGGCAGAGTCTGGGTAGAGTCAAAGCAGTGGTGAGGGTGATCCATGGTTCACTACGGAAGGGTTGGTTCTGGCTCTGAATAGTGAGCCGTGCCGTTTTCACCCGCAGCATGAAGCTGAAGATTCTGCGGCCTGCTAGCGTTGGCTTGAGTCCAACTTAGGATTGGCTCGAGGAGCTGCGCTTCTTGCTCGCAGACAGATAGTGAGAGTGGTTGTGGGTTTGACTGCTTGGACAGACCGTGAATGCGGGGGATCTATCAAAGCTCCTTTGTCCCTTAGCCGATTCGGAGAACAGTCGCGACAGCTGACTACAGTCTACTCTCGATGTCAGGCCTCGATGAGTATCTGGACGCCGCCACGACATGGCTACTTGTCCTCCAAGTTTTGGCGGCGGCCGAAGATGAGCATTTCCGCACCGAGTAAAGATGGCACCCAATACAGCTGTGTTTCGGACACTTTTTCCACCTGACTTCCAAAGGTGTGCCGAGATGGGTGCTGTGTCTTTGGAGGAGATCGCGGAGAACATTGAGGAGCGCCTCGGAGCGAAGTGCATTTTTAGTGTTTTAGGATACAAAAGCAAATCTAATACATACATGGGGACCAAGAGTGAAAAAGACGCCGTAGACAACTCTGCACACTAGTGAAGTCGGTGTGCCCAAATCTCGCACACCGACTTCATGCCCTGACGCGAGCCTAGCTTGCGGATTCAACCCTCAGCGAGCTAAGCCATTTCAGTCCTCGAGGGAGTTAAGATGAACCTTAAGGGCTTAATTACATGGGCTTACTGAGAAGCTTCATTTGCGTGGACCTTTTGACCATCGTTTCGTGTCTGGCCGACTGGCATAAACTTGGAGACATCAACTGAGTGAAGCCAGTGAGCTTGTTCGAACTTTCCGCCTGAGGTTCGGGATTGATGTATCCCTCAAGCCCATCGAGCGGCAGCGCGTGCAGAAGTGGGCGGCCGGGATGGCATGAGCACCTTGTGTCAGTGTTCATTGTCGAAGTTCGGGGCACCTACTATTTGTGTTGAACCTCCTGAGGGCGTGAGCATCAAAGTCTTCCAGAGTCTGCGTGGTTGGCGAAGGTGTGACCTAACCTTGTTGCCTGTTGAACGTCGAGTCAACATGTACAGTCGTTACGACGCCAAGCATCCAACCAGAGCTCCACCGAAAACGCCGTGCTGCCAGTCAGATCCGTTCCTACCACAGCACCATCAAACTGACACAGCCTACCACACACAGTTTATCCATGTTTCTCTCCCAGCAGGATGTGGCACTAAGCCATGCGCGCCAAGCATCACCAAGCCATGTCGCAGCATCCCAGCTCAAGCTCGTAATGTATGTCTCAAGCGTGGACAGGGACTTCCGGACACAGTCCGACATCTGGGAGTTTCCGAAGTTTAGGGGTACCTTATTTTGGGGTCCTTATAATCGGGATCCTACTATTTAGGGCACTCTACTAGCGTCCCCTATCTTCGGAAACTCCCATCTGGTTCTCTGTAACAATGTTAGTAGCAATAATTATTGTATCAATAAGAATCATATGAATAATATTGACGATGGTTTAACCCGTATCCGAAGGCCTCTCAGCGGCTCCAGGGCCGCGGCTCCGCGCGCCCGCTGGCCGACGTGCGAGGAGGCCTCCCTCTTGCGGTACGGGCTGAGGACCAATAGAAAGAGTAAGCCATATCAACAATAGTTAGTAGTAATACATAATTACAATTATAACAAGGTTAGTAGCAAGAAAAATACGAGTATAAATTATGATCATAGGAATGCTAGTATCGATGGCAATAATGTGGTGATGCGCCGAGCGGATGTCTGTGAATGCCAGTGCTTGTCCCCCCGTTGGTCTTTGCACGATCCTCGAGAAAACGTGAGAGAAAGGGGGAGCACCAAAATCATATGAGTATGACATTTGGTACAGTTTGCAATACATTCAAAACAGCCGTTGCTCCTGGACCAAGACCCACAGCCACATCGAGGCATACGGAAAATCAGATACCACAGATTTCGCATCGAACTCGTATGCCACCTTGGTTTGGCATTCATATTGGTGCTTTCGTCACATGGCGTTTTTGTTGTCTGCCGCCGGCGAGTCGTACTCTTCCTCACGTGTCGTGGCTTAACACGCACCTCATCGCCCTCATTAGTATTCAATTGAAAACAGCGGTGCTGGATCGCCTCCTCATCATCATGCGAATCATCAGCCTCATGAACATCATCATCGTCATCGCCATCATAAGCATCATCATCATCATCCTATTTACCATCAGCGCATCACCACTCAGGACAACAGGCGTGTGCCCGCAAAGCCTGGACACCTCAACCCTGAGCCCAGAGGTTCTCAGGGCGGCCCGGGCCGCTGGGAGGAGCCCCCTCTGGCCCTGGCCCGCCGTGAAATGCCACAGCCACTCGAGCAAAGCAAAGCTTGAACACGTCCCGATTCAGGTGCTCTGGTGTTTGCTGGCTTGGGATTTGATCGGTCCGGAGTTTCAGGCTCATCTTCCATGTTAGATGTGCTTGTTGCTTTGGGTTTGCAGGTGAAATGCCAGGTGTCTTAATGCACCCCTTTGCTGGGAGCATCCTGTTGGCTTGCCAAGGGCTTCAGAAAGTGTTCTCAGCTTGATGTTACGATGCCAATTCCGCACAAGCAGATATGCACAAGGCCGGAAACACATGAGTTCTGTGCGATGCAGTCCCTTCGAGAGCCAACTACCACCACCACCACCACCACTATACTCCTGCTGCTGATACTGCTTCTACCACTACCACTAACTACCACCACCACTACTACTACTACTACTACTACTACTACTACTACTACTACTACTACTACTACCAGTGGGTGACCAAAGACCACCACTACCACTACTACCACTAAGACGACGACGACGACGACTACTACTACTACTACTGCTACTGCTACTACTGCTACTCGTACTCCTAGTCGTACTCGTACTACTATTACTGCTTACACCAGTACTCTTCAACCCCCCAAACATCGCAGTCGCACCGTAAGCTTCGAGGCTGCCTCAGTGGCCCGAGGCTCAGGGCCGGCAAGCGCGAGGCCAGCGCATGTCAGAAAAAGAAGCAGCCAACAATACACAATAGTCAATTGTGGTAAGAAGAGCAGTAATGCTAATGATGTTAAGATCATGAATAACCAGAAGGATAATACCAGTAAGAAGAATAATTAACTAAACAGCCGTGAACAACAACTCACCAAAATCAGAATGATAGCAGTAAGCATAGCAATAGCAAGGCTAAAGTAAGAAGAGTAGTGGTAAGACCAACGAGAGCACGCGCAACAGTGGGACAATGATGACAACAAGGACAAGGACATCACAAGGACGAGGACAACCGCAACAACAAACAACGACACCGCCACTACCACCATCCCACCAACGAACAACAACAACGACAACAACAGCAGCAGCAGCAGCACAATCAACAGCAGCAACAACATACACAATACAAGGACAATCACTTGTACACAAACGGCAGGAACATGACTAACTGCCTGGCTAGTTGCTGATTTCGTGATGACAGAGTCTTCGGCTGACCCTTCGGGGGTCTGGTATAGTTTTGCACGGAGGAACCGAGCGACCAGGATTGTTAGAACAAGAGCAGTAAGAAGACCGCGAAGAAGAGCAGCAACAAGCACAATCGCAGCTGCACCCGCAACCACAGCAACGACAAGAACCACCACCACAACAAAAACAACACCAACAACAGTAGCTGCAGCAGCGGCAACGGCAACGGCAACGGCAACAACAACCCTACCCGGAACAAACTTTTCTCTTGCCGATGCTCATAATTCCGAACGAACATGAAGGCTTAGCCTGACAAACGCACGCATTATGAAGCCTAGACGAATGTTGTCAAGAAATCTAGCCTGTTCCAAGAGTTTGTGAGGATCTTGTGGGCCGTTGCTGCTTACCAATACTGTAATGGTGCACTGCTTACTGACTGTCCACCTTTGACACACGCATTCGTTTCCAAGCTGCCCCTTCGCGAAACCAGAGTGGAAAAGAAGGAAGGTGTTTGTGGGTCTTAGTGTTTGATGCTCCAGGACATGTGCATTATGAGAAGTGTTTGTGGAGATTTGCGCGGGTGCTTTGCGATGGTCGATGTCGAACTCGGTTCGGTGTCTTTGAGTGAGCCAATCCCCCACAGCCTCAGCCTAAGTCCACCCACCCCTGTTATCGAGGCTTTCTGCCTACTCCTGACTCATCTTCGGCACTGGCAGTCCCCGAGAGGGATGCGCCAGATGAGACGCCGATTTACACTGCCCGAAGCGTGCGTTTGGCCGTGGACTCCATGGGCCGCGTGGAACAGCAAGAATCACGATGGTGGATCGTAGTGGCAGAAGTCATGTTTGCAGTCTTTTGTCCCTCAATTTACCAGCACCACAAGCGCCGCAAGCCGGATGACTGCTACAGCTACTACAGGAATAGTTACTCTGTATACTGTACACCCATTGCTACTTTCAGTTACTATCACCGCGTACGATTACTAGTTCCGCTGCTGCTGGCTTTGATTGGATAGGTCGCGGAACCAATTTGGGAGTTTCCGAAAATAGTGGACCCTAATATAGTACCCTAAGTAATAGGAGCCCTATTATAAGGACCCCAAAATAAGGTACCCCTAATTTTCGGAAACTCCCGCTGGAGCATTGAGACAGACTTCAGAGCTCTTCGGATCGATGGGCTCGACATGACTTCACTTCAGCATGCTTTCGCCCAGGCAACACTGGCCTCGACCTTCGTTTCGATGACGACTGGGGCATCCTAGTGCAGTCTGTGGAAACCGGATCGCAAACAGACAAAGGGTTTGGGCCTTTGTCGGTTGCAGACTCAGATCAAGGCTGCTGCAAATGACGTTGGTGAGTTAGGCAAGCGCCGGGCAAGGGCTGGGTGGTGGCACTGGAAGCTTACTACTGCATGTTGTGCTGCCATTGAACTGAGCCCCACGAGGCCAAGCTACATTTGAGACCACCCCGGGGCTCTCCATGTCTCTGAAACTGTTTCTCTGCATGATTCTGCATGTATTTCTGTCCGTCGAGGTTTCTTCTTCTTGTACTAAGAACCTGCCACACTACTCGTAAGAGTGCAGGAATCAGACTCGACAAACAAGGGATGTAGACACGAGGAGTACATCAATGAGTCTAGCTTCCTTGACAGCAGTACATGCGACAGGGCATTCCTTCTCCTTTCGCGTCCATCTACTCAGTAAACCTTGGGCTTGCCTGCCTCCCGCAATGCCGCAGTACATCAGCTTGCGAAGTGTTGCCTCGCATACACCATTTCATAGCATTACCAAGGCATGGCAATATTAGAGACTCCGCAAGACATTACGGCAAGTTGGATGGACAGAATCGGTTGATATTGTACCGTTGATGCACCCTCCGTCACTTTCGAACATTTTCCGTCGCCCACAGACTTTGGTGGCATTGAATCAAAGGCCAACCTCGACTAACTGTGCAGGAATTCGCATTCCTGTTTGTATGCTTCTAGAGGAAGCTCCGAGGCTTCGTACTACTTTGCCACGGTAGTGGCGGTAGTAGTAGTCGTAGTAGTAGCAGCAGTAGCAGCACGAGTAGTAGTCGTCGTCGTAGGAGTAGTAGTAGCGGTAGCAATTTAGTAGCAATAGCAGTAGCAGGAGCAGTAGCAGTAGCAGTAGTCGTTGTTGTTGTCGTCGTAGTAGCAATAGAAGTAGTAGTAGCAGTAGTAGTAGTAGTAGTAGTAGTAGTAGTAGTAGTACTAGTAGTAGTAGTAGCAGTAGTAGCAGTAGTAGCAGTACTAGTAGCACTAGTAGTAGTAGTAGTAGTAGTAGTAGTAGTAGTAGTAGTAGTAGTAGCAGCAAAAGCAGTAAAAGTAGCAGTAGCAATAGTAGCAGTAGTAGCAGTAGTAGCAGTACTAGTAGTAGTAGTAGTAGTAGTAGTAGTAGTAGTAGTAGTAGTAGTAGTAGTAGTAGTAGTAGTAGTAGTAGTGGAAGAAGAAGTTTTCGTAGTAGTCGTCGTCGTAGTCATAGTAGCCGCAGCAGCAGTAGAAGTAGTGGTATGTGACCAGTTTGAGGATCCACTTCCCGGCCAGCCCGGCCTCGCAGAGGGCGATTTCATCGTCGCCATCGAAGGCGCAGCCTTCCGTCCCCTCTGGGCCTAGGGCTCCCTTTAAGGGTTCTACAATAACTTCTTTTTAGGGGTTTAGGGCCTGCGTTAAGGTTCATGGGACGTCGTAACTAGAGTTGTGGTAACTATACTTACAACTGTTCATATCTCCAGTTCAGGTACTTGTATCTGCACTTACTAAGTCCCATGAACCTCTAAGTTGTCTCTCGCACAGTCACAAAGGAGGCGAAAAGAAGCTGTGTTTTTCGGTCCTGTATCTGCAGTTTCCGTGTACTTCATGGAGGTTTCTTGCAAATGTAAAAGGCCAAGGACAAGGTGCAAAAACTCTGCTTGAAGGGGCTGAGCGTCTCGATGAAGTGCTTTGCAGGATGCTCGCTTCGACACCGTTCGCACGAAGAGTGCGACGCAGTTTTCTCTGAGCGGCTCCAGCCGCTTGGCCTCTAATCCTGGGGTGAACCCTCAGGGCTGGGAAACGCCCTGAGCATCGGAACGGCGGAGGGCTCCTGGAAGCAAGTCGGGACGAGATCGGGCTTTCGGCATCACCTGATGCCAGATACGGCAAGGCTTGAATGTCGGCGCGGTATGCAATACACGGTATCCCTCAGCCTCGCATGGAAGCACGGATTCTGCTGAATTAAGCCCCAAAGGCTACCACCATGGCATGAACGACATGTACTAGTCACGCTAGTCTCGAGATAACTCCCTAAACGCCCTGTGAGCCCTGATCCTTCCAAGCCACGGTGAAACTGGTATGGCCCTGAACGCAGCACGAAGCCTCCAAGCACAGGAACGGAGCCATTCTGAGCGTGGTCCGACCCCAGTCTCGTGTGCCTGCCGGATACAGTGGCATGAGGGGCAAAGCACAGAAACTCGGCCTTTACAAAGGCCTCCAGGGTTTCAGGAACTTGCTGCGGGAGGAAGCAGCTGCTAAGAACACGGTCACCTCCACCACTACTACTACGACGGTGGTAGAAGTTCTGGCAGGATCAGCATTGTCCTCGTTGTCGTTTTGGCCGACTCCCTAGGGCTCACACATTGTGCAGGCATTTATCGGATTTAATCTATTGACATGCGAGCAGGTTTTAGTTGCCGTATGCAAGGTCCCTGCGTTTTTACAATCTCCTGCCTCACTATTCCTGCCACCGTCATTTCGATATTAATCTATTATCACATACACAGACTTTTATATGCATTTACGTATTCACAGACAAATGCATAAGTATGCATACATGCATCATGCACGTACATGCGTTGATGCATGCATGCATGGGCTTACATCGGCAAAGGCAGCGGCACGTTGGTCTTGTCAGACTGACGGACAGCCTGGGCCAAGGAATGAGAGCGCCATGCCCAACGGCTGGCGTTTGCCTCGCCAACCCGATTTTCGCAACACGGGCTGGGGCGGCGGATGGTCCTTTGGCAGATTGGTTTGGTCAATGAGTGCCGGAGGCTTTGTGCTCTTTTCCCGCAATGCATGCCACCCAAATCCCTTGTCAAACGTGTCGGTCTAGGGGGATTCTACTCAGAGGTCATGGCTTCATTGTGGCTTCTGTCAGTGGTGGACATGCCCACTCAGCAACTACGATCAGAGGTGTGCTTCCGGCTTCATCTGAGGAGTCGTGGTCGGCGTGGGGGACACGACCCGAATCGCATGTGGAACCGCTTCAACCGCGGACCGCCCTGGTGAAGAAAAGTCGCCATGGTAGGCTTCGTGTAAGATACAGACTTAGTGTCCAGAACGGAAAGTCATCACTCGCAGACATGCTTATGCGAAAGCTTCCGAGCAGTGAGGTGGCTCCGTGTGACTTGTCGAACGCTGCCATTCCAAAGAACTAGCTGTTTACCGGACTGTTGCTGAAGCCTGGAGAACCGTTGCCGCTTCCTGCAACCATTTGGTGCGCTGACATGCCACATGCGACACTAGCAGCGACTGTTTATGAAGCTCAGTGTGTGCACCCCGTTTGGGTTAGACTGAACTCTCAGCCTAGCTCGCCTGAAGGAAGCGTAAGCTCCTTCGAAGCTAAAAAGCAACACAAAAGGGTGTTGTTTTTTTCTTGGCCCCATTGTAGTCGTGATCAGGCATGCTGGAGACCGCATAGCTGGGACGACCAGAGCAGAGGGACGGCAGACAAAACTGAAACGCGGACAGGCAGACGTTTAGTCACAATCACTCGCAAGCCCTCGGCCCGTTGCTGCTCGAACCAGGGCGCCATGCACCCAGTCCACAAGATGCTGTCGTCGCAAGACATCAGATTGACGCTTTAGTACTTGAGCAACTAGTTTATCCTAAGCGCCCTGCATCTCCAAGGCCTGCCCTGGAGGGTGCCAATGACAGTGGCTCAGGCAGAGGCGGTGCTTGCACCGGCCGAGGCCCAGCTGTCGACGGGTGAGAGGATGGACGTAGAATCAACAAAGATGTATATGTATATATATATATATATGTATGTGCGTCCTCGGACTGATCAAGCCAACCTCAGAGCGGATCACCTGGGCTTCGTTGCGGCCTTCTTAAGCACAACTTTAGAGTCTGCACTTGGGAGCCACATGTCACGTCAGCTTTCTGTTTTTAGCTTGACTGTCGGCCAGGCAAAAGGTGCGACAGTCTAGAGCCGACAGATCGCACAGAGCCATTGACTTCTGTCACTTCGGGCTGCAGGCCAAGGACGATGCAAAGGATGATGCCAAAGACGAGAGGCCGCCATGTTGCTTGACTCGAGGACTTGCACTTGAGTTGACAAGGTTAGGTAAGTCAAGTCATGGTCGGTTATGGACAATTTTGAGGATCCTGGCATGGCTTGCCGTTCATATGCCCGCGAGGTATGCAGGCATCGTCCGCCGGATGACTCCAGAGCTGATTCAGGAGTGCTGCAAAGAGCGGCAGATGTGGCCGCAAGCCGAGTTGTGTGGAGAACCCATATTCTTTTACCCCTGCTCCGCAAGCTCGAATCTGCAGCCGGAACAACCTTGGGCACCCAGGTCGCAGCCGCAGCTGAACACGGTTCTCTACTTGAACTACAAAGGCGAATAGTGCGTGCTTTGCATTTCCACGGAGGGTGGCTTGGAGACGTTCGGGTCAGGATACGGAGTGGGGTCTAGAGTCTAGAGGTGATATGCACAGGTCGCCGAACTTGATCTTGTCGATGGATAGAAATCCACTTCACATCCGAGACCAGTGGTTGACCAAGGCAAGGACTTGGATGGAGCCTCACTTTAAGAACTGTAAAGACAGCGGCAGCGCTGAGCGTGAGCGCACACATGCCGGACCTTCGCGAGAGGGCTCTCTGCTAGCCAAAGTTTACACTTAAGTAGTCGGACTCGCTAGGCATAGACATGCACATTTGGAGCCTGCCGCCACAACGACTGCAGATTCGACAGACAGGTTTTGAGACCATCGAGGGTCTCGAGGCCTACACGAACCTCCGCGTCACTGCCTTACAAACGGTGCACTGCAGGTTTGAGGTTAGGGGTTCTATCCGGTGTGGACGCAATCGCCATTTAGCTTGCAGCGTTCGTCGTCGGCAGGCTGAGCCAAGCAAATTGGTGTTCCCAGCATGAATGCATGCATGCCGTGGAGGGGGCCTGTGGAACAGCTGGGGCGTTGCATGGATTTGGGCAGCCTTGCATCATGCCCCGGAGTTGTGAATGCCAAAAAAAACTTCAGTCGGGCTCTCCTGCCCGAAAACAAAATGCGTGAACCTTCCCCTCGCGAAGTCTGAGCCGTGTACTGTATCTGTCGAATCCTCGTTTGGCTCTCCTACAGCAAAACTTCAAAGCTGCCTGGAATCTACCGCAAAGCGAAAAAATAATCTGTTATCTTCTCATGGCCAAGGCGTTGCATCTAGGCAACAACAACATTGCCAAGATCGAGGGCCGGGAGCCCTTTTGCATAGGACCTGGAAGCTAAAGCCCTTGCTCCACAGAGGCAGTAGTACTTGTAGTGCAGTTTGTGACCAATGAGGAATATCAAGAGTCGCAATGAAACACTTCAAAGATGTTGCGGAGGACCAGGCTGAAGTTTCCAGCTTCAGAGGTAGACTTTGCAATTCCACAGGCTTATGGGTCCCGGTCAGCAGAAGGTCCGCCACAGAAGGCATCGACTGAGAGCGCTCGGGTTCACCTCGTCAGGTTTGGACCGGATGTCAAGTCTCAAGAGCCTGAACCTCGATGGTAACCGCATCATGCGCCTTGGCTGATCATCCGAATTTATGATGACGGCACAGTCGCTTGTGCCTTTGACAACCCTGTGCCCAACGTGCCCTGGACCCGATTCCAGTGTGCCCCCAGTCGCTGCAAGCATCACCCATCAGATTATTTGGAGCGCCAGGAGCTTGACGGAACTGCCCATACTTCGAGATGATGGGAAGTCTGAGATTAGGTCCCGACATGGCCGCTTGCACACGTGCCCCTCTAAGCCAAAAGTTCAGAGTCCGTACACAAATTATGCTTGTTCGGCCCTGTGGGACCGGTTTCAGAACCCTACCCTCCAGCTCTACAGCCCAAGAACATCAACAATGCCCCAGGCACGTATGCCTATTGTATTAGGGGTGCCTTATTTGGGGGTGCTTATATTAAGGATCCTACTATGTAGGATACTATACTGCCTCTTCAGGTGCATCGAGAATCTGAAGGGGAACTTGGAACTGCGCCAGCTCAGCATCGAGTCCAATGCGCTAAGGCACAAGCCACTTGTGTTCAGGCTTCCGGCTTGGATGATCCATGTGGTGGCTTGCGTCCAAGTTCACTCTCACTCTAGGCCCCAGGACATCAATATCAGAAGCCTTTCAGAAGTTGTGTTGTGTTATTGGCATTTGGCTTGTTTGAACTCAGCCGGGCGTGTGGCAAAAGTTCAGAGTGTCTCACACACGCACACAGAAAGCGGATATGCAAGCTGTCCAGACGCATAACTTGGCCTTGTGTCTGTTTGTGTTTGTTTGTGCGTGTGCTTGTGTTCGTGTGCCTCCAGTTTCGACAGGCAGCTTTCCAACCTGTCGGGGGCTCTGAACCTTCCAGGCTGGATTGTGAGTAGGCCCAAAGCTTGCAATGTACACACACCGCTAGGACTGGATGCGTAGCAAGAGCTACCGCAGCGAGTCTAAGAAGCAGGCTGCTAAACACCCTGCATTGCAGCATCATTGCATTTCAGTTTGGATCTGTCTGTTGCCTGCTGTCTCATGCAGTGCAAAGGTCGCACCTGATGAAGCTCGAACAACTCAATGTTTCCAGGCGTGGTTGTAATGTGCACACACGAGCTCTCATCCTGTGCCCCACGCCTAAATCCTAAACCTCACACATGGGAGTCGTTGGTGGTCGCAGCTGGGGGTACAGTGTATATTCACCGAAGGCGCCCTGCAGGGAGAGATCAGTTTTGTTGACAGTGCTCTGCTCTGTTGTGTCACCGTGTGCTGCAGGAACGCCATCACAAAGGTGACCGACCTGGAGGAGCTGAAGTCTGTACCAAGTGCGCCGCCTGTGTATTTGCAACAGGGTCGGTGTCCTGTGGGCCACGAGACTTTGCAATATATAATATATGATGCATTGAAGTTTCGTGTGCATGATGCCAAGACAGGTTTGGAGAACATTGACATCTCGCCGCTGCCTCGTGTCGGGTGCTCCTTGCACCGTCGCCCATTCGCCTGTATCTCCGCAAAGCTGCTTGCCGTTGCATGTTGCCGACGGCAAACCAAAGAAGCTTACCTGGCTAGTCCAGTCCGAGTTTAACAGCATGAGTAGAGCGTTGATGGCCTGAGTTTTGTAAGAAGTTTTGCCGGCATCAAACAGCTGTGCTGCGAGGCATAATTGCATTGAGGAGTCGGAGGGAGTGGTCGAGTTCTGGGCGAGCTTGCCGGTACCCTGGGGTCGCACATACAAGCATGTGTGCATTCTGTATAGTGTACATTGTTCTTCCAACGATTGGGCTGTGCTCAGCTGAGCTGTTCTTGAGGTCACATGCGTTTGATTTCTTCTGAGGGTGCTTGTCGCAGACGATTTGCTTCCACTTCAGTCCCGTTTCAAAAAACTGGTCTATAGTCTAGGTTGGGGCAAGTTGTTCGGTTGTCGATACTCGGGTGCTGCTTGTCCACTATAACGACAGACTTGACGGAACGGACAAAAACGACATGTTGTTCGCGGTGCATCCGAAGACGCGCGGCACCGACCACCAAGACGCTGTGACTTTGCGGTACGGGCAGCACGGGCTTCGGGCCCGAGCCCACACGATTTGAGAAGAGGGTGCGCAGCCAGGGGTTTGGCATCGCGACCCCAGATCACTACAGTAGCAAAGGGTAAGCCTCAATCCCCCTTTGCGCTACATTTTGGCTCAAGTTTGAAGGTTCCACTTCCCTGGAATTGAAGCCTGCCAACCTCAGAAACTGCGGCCATGGGTGACTTTCGTGCAGTGTGCTCGGCAGCGGGAGTGACGTTTCTGGCATGTTTCCTGGTTCTGGTCGTCATGGCTTTGTTTGTGGCCCTCCTTTCCCCGGAGCACTGTTCCGATGTCCACGACCATGATCACACCCACTATGATCCCCATGATCCTCACTACTACTTGCCCGTAGCTGGGACCGATGAACCCTGCGACTTCGGCCAGTCAATGTTCCTGGTTTTCACGACGTTTGTCGCTGGGAGTTGGGGTCATCTATACCCATCCGAGAGCCAGCGCTGGGCGATCTGTTTAGTTGCGTCCTTGGGCTATCTATGGCCGCTCATGTCCACAGGAGTTCTGTTGTTCCAGATGAAGCAGAAATCGTTGTTGCGGCTTGCAGCTACCAGCCTGGCAGTGTGGTATGTCACTACGGCACTGGTTGGCAACTTGCTCTTGAGTGCCCTGATGTTGATTCGCGAAGACGATGCAGTTGAAGATGTCGGACATGAAGCGGAACCTTCCTACGGTATCTGGCTGTACTTCGCGTGGATGACATATCACCTGCGGGCCTTTGGGGAGGTCAGTCCACATGGCTTTGTTCAAGATTTGGTCAGCCTGCTGATTGTCATGATGGGCAGCCTCTGCTGGGTGCTACCTTTGTTCACAGTGGCGCGGCAAACCGTGCTGGACCCCGGGGCCAGTCTCTTCTCCTCCGGCCCGAACGGCCAATTTAAGCCTTTGTGCCGCAGGGCTGTGCAAGCGGTGGCACTGCCCTACGGCTGCTGCGTCATTGTTCTTCTTATCTTGGCGGGCATCTATTTCGCCTTGTGCACCGCAGACGAGTGCTCAGTGACGGAATACATCGGATATGGCGGTGCACTGCACCTCCTGTGGACAACCTTCCACGGAGCCACTTGGGGCCATGTAAGTCCCGAAGGAGGCGTGCAGCAGGCTGTAGCCTGCATCGTCGCCAGCTTGGGATACCTTTGGCGCCAGTTGGTTCTTCTCCTGCTCCTTAGGTCCATCAACCAACGTGAGATCGCCAGAAAGTACACAGGCGCCCTTTTGGGCACCTATTCTTGCTTCGCTCTCTTAGGAAACCTAATACTGGCCGCTGTTGTCCTGGCCGTGGACATGAACTCCGTGGGTGGAAGCTACGGCACTTCACTGTACTATGCCTGGATGACCTACCATGGACGGGCATACGGTGAATACGCGCCCATGTCCGCAGGTGGAGAAGCGATTGCAGCACTGCTCGCCTGCCTGGGCAACTTGGGCTGGGTCTGGCCGCTTTTGCTTGTGGTCCGGAGCTCTGTGTTGGCCACCGTCCTCAGCACCGTGGTCCCCATGGAGTCCGCTCCACAGGCAGCGCAGGTCGTTGGGGCACAGTTCGGAAACGACGCCGAGGCTTGATCCCCTGGCAGTGCAAGTGTTGGTGGTGGATGTATGCCGAGCATCTACGGAAGCGACGGAAGGAAGGATCCACGGGCACATCCGAAGCTTGAACTGAAGATGTTGTTTGTGTTTGTTTAGGTCGTGCCTTGAATCCTCTACACCGGTGCAAGATCCTGCCTTGAGTTTGCTGTCGAATGACAGCACCGTGTGAAAGTCGTTTCGTTTGAAAGTTGTGGCCGATCAGCTTTGGTTAACCTCTGTTTTAGACAGAGGACCTGAGTGAGCAGGCAGCAACAGAGGAGCCTGAAAATCTCTTGTGGTTGCGTTTCCGGGGAGGCAGCAGGGACTTCAGGGCTTGAAGTATGTTAGGAACTCAGTGATAGCATTGCGAAGTATCCAGGCTTCTATATCAAAATTTCACAAGACTATAGACCAAAACGGTCGTGTCGCAGACGGCATTTTGCCGAATCATCGAGCTCCGCTCAACGCGAAGCCTTGCATGTCTTGTGTCCACGCTGTCAAACCTCGCGAGCGGGCACAGACTTCCAAGCAATGCGACAGGGAGAAAACCCGCGAGTCGAAACCCCACAAAGCCTTGTAAGCCAAGACTTCGCAAGACTCTGCCGAGGCCCGGTGAGCTGAAGATCCTCCGTTTCCACAGCAACCCAGGAGCAGAGTGGGGCCTTTGCCCGGTGTTCTGGATCTACCCGTAGTTGGACAGTCGTGTTACGACAAGCATCTTCTTAATAGCGATGTCGGGTTTCGTTTTGGGAAGTCTTTCGGCATCGCCCGAGTCAAGCCAACCGCAGCCCACCTTAAGTTGCTTGCAATTTCGTGAGGGCTTCGTTTTATCGAGCACTACCGGAAGAGAATGGCCGGGAGCCTCAAAGGGCTTCGCCATTTGCCGCACGAGCATTGGTCGAGCCGTCAACACGACAGTTTGACTTCATTCTTGGTGTTCTGCAACCACGTTTCATTTTGGTTGCAAGTTCGAAGCCGGGCAGTAGTTACAGCGACGATAACCTGATCAAAGCACGACAGTTTTAACAAATCAACAGCGCTTGTGCAAGGTCAATGCCGTGCCATCGCCCGGGGCTCGGTCAATCCTTCTACACGGTGTAGGGCCCTCAAGCCCTGAACCTCGAACCTGAGCCGCCGAAGCCTGACACTCTACAGCGGACGACATCCTGTGCACGCGGTGGTGAAGTCTAACCCTCAGCACAGAACCTTGATTCGTAGCCGAGCCAAAGAGGTGGAGAGATGCTGGCGCAGCCGAGTCAAGTTAGCATGGTCGCCGGCAACAAGACGACATCCAAAACCCTACTCCTATTTTTCGGAATGCTCTGACATCTCTTTAAAGCAGCTGGTAAGCGCACCTAGATGCCCGTAGTATTTGCCTTGCTCGTTGCACGCTGCCCGACTATCCTAGGGAGCTGTTACACAACAGAGGCTGTAAGCCTTTCGATCGCGACTATGCAAAACCCAAACTGCAAAGGCTCTCCCAGACTCACGGACCTCCGGAAGTTTGTCTGGTACGATGAGGGTTTATGTGGGCTCCAAAGACTCCAAATACCTTCGTTAAGCAGGTGCACCCGAACTACAATGGGGTTGCTGGCTGAAGGATCCTGAATCCAGGGATGTTTGGGCTTCTGTGTTTTCTGCACTTCGGACGCAAAACTTGCCTTGCACATCGACTGTACGTTCCCAGAGTCTCTAGTGATCTAGTGGGTAGTGGGTGGATCGAAGTTAGCTAGCGAAGTTGAGGCTGAAGTTTAGGCTTCGACAGTTAAGAAGGAGATGGAGCTAGGCGCTATAGGAGTGAGGTCAAACATCCATTCATTGTCCAGGGCGTCAGCCAGCTGTATGGGGGGCATGATTCCATTAATAGGGATCTGGAAGGGTTCCGATGAGGGTTCCTATAGGGCATGGATTTTGGAGTCAAGCGGCGTTCTTGCGTGACGGAGGCGGACCGTCGCTGCAGGCTCAAGCCGCTCTAGTGACATTTGCACCTACGAATCGCACCTTGCTCCTTCCGAAGTGCCTATGTTTGGGAAAGCGGTGGTTAGAGCAGGTCTAGGAGGCCAGGAAGCTGAGAAGAATTATTGTCTTGATGATTGCGACACTACGTAGTCATCTGGGTAATGGCAGTGGCAATGGTGGTACCACCAGCCCAGTAGTAGCATCAGTAGCAAATAGTATATAGTCGCAGTCGTAGTAAGTGTTGCTGTTGTAGGAAGATGCATGACACAGCATAGTCATCTCCATGACAACGTGGGTCCTCGCTACTCGACGGGAGGTCCCCTGCCATTGAACTGCCTGTCGAAAGACTGGCTCGGTTTATGTCGTTTCAGCAGGCATTGTGCTCAGCATCTCGTTGCCGCGACGCAGAGAAGATTCTTCGGGTAATTGGCCATGAGTCCTTGACGCCTATTCAGGTCGCGACAGCTTCTCACCGCTTGGCCAAGACTATGATGGGAAGCAGTGAAGCTTCCCGGCAAGCTGGCCTGAAGAAGCTGACTGCACCGATATATCGATCGCTGGCAGAATTTGGACCGCAAGCAGCCGCCAATACATTGTGGGCCCTGGCCAAGCTATCGTGCGAGGACAGTCCGCTACTGCAGGACGTTTATGGCAAGACTTCGCAACTCATTCCTCTTTGCACCGGACGCCACCTGAGCAATGTCGCATGGTCGATGGCAACACTGTCCCAGAATGATGCCATGCTACTGTCAGCAATTTCGTTGCACATGGCCGCCCCAACCATTCGGGAAAGCCTCTCCAACCAGAGTATAGCAAATACATTGTGGAGCTTTGCAGTTCTTGATGCGCCCAACCTGCCCTTAATGTGTTGCTTAATGGAGACTGTTGCCTCATCTCGGTATCCTATTAATTCCCAGGATGTAAGCAACATACTGTGGGCTCTCGCGCCGGAGACTGCCAATCTAAAGTGCGAAGTTGTGTGGAGGCCCTTCACTGCAGCAATCGCCCAAAGATCCCAAGAACAAGCTGCTGAGCTGCCTGTGCAAGAACTAGTTAGTGTGGCGTGGGCCTTCGCAGACGTTGTCGCCAGCGCCGTGGAGACTTCACGACAGCGCGTTGGCGCCCCACCCACAGCAAGTGGCAGCTTTGGAGAGCGGCATGTGGAACATGAGCCTGCTTCGTTGACGTGTTTGTATGGGAGCCTCATAAGGTCACCCCCCACAGACTTCAAGAAGGCTCTTGAATACGTGCTATGCTGTTTTGTTGAATTAGATTTTCTCACAATCTATCTAACTCATGACATATCTGTCTTTATGTCTTCCTCTCTATCAATAGTGATGATGACTATCTATAGTGGTATCTACTGCGTGCGGATGTGTCTAAACATTTAGTGCCCCCCCTCCCCGACCCGACTCCCTCCCACCCCCACACCCCCCCAACGCCCCAAATGCACAGACATGGTTAAGTTAGGATCCGGCTTCTGGTTTAAAAGACGTGGCCTTTAGGCCTTGGTGCTTGAAAGAGCCATGTTCAGGCAATTCCATAGTGCTTTTAAATTGGGGTGTTTCATGCGTTTCTGAGGGGCTCCTCAGGAATTTGTTTAGTGTGTAGCTTGCATGCTTATTATTCTGGCGAGACTCGTCACAAAAGGCCTCTTAGAAGCGCTGAACCAATGTGCGTAAACCCGTATGTCGACTAGCAGGAAGTACTACCGCATCCTACTGTCAGTGGACCTTCTGCAGCTTGACTGCTTAAGTACCCGGATTCGCCACAGAGCCCGAACAAATACAGGATCCCTCTACAGGAACTTTGCTGCCCCCAAAGGTCAAAGCCCATGCAAGAAGCGGTGAGATTTGTACGATGTTTGTGGCTGCGCAGATGTTTCTTTCTCCGGTCCAGCAGGTGTTTCGGCCGTCACTCTTCCTCAGCGAAACGCATGTCACCACTCTTACGCCTTCAAGCGAATGTTGCGAGACCGAAGCCATGTCCGGACTCTCCGTATCTTTACGAAGCGCCAGGTCCCACTCCCAAAGCCCGAAGACCCCAGACTGTCTGATCACGGAGTGCGTTCGGTAGCAAGAATGGGATGCTTTCAGGCTCCGGTACCTCGATGAGAGGCCGATCTTCCCAGTGGATGCTTGGTTTCATAGCTTTGCAGGTCAGGGAGGGGGCTCAAGGTTTCGGGACGCAGTCTCTAAGACTTCCATGGTCCGAGGGTCAGGGCTTGAAGCGTTGTTTCTGTGCCCATGGGCAACTTTAGGTCGACAGTGGTTGGAAGGCGCTTCAATCCTTACGAACGTGTTGAAAGCAAGCAAGGAATTTCACATAAGGGCACGCGCATCTGACATCTGTGTGTACGGAGACCTCGGGCTGCTGAACCTTCGAAAATGGCTTGGGCTGGTGACTGGCTGTCTCCTTCTGTCAAGCGGTTTTGGCCTCCAGATGAATTTGTTCTATGTTCTATGATGTTCTAGCCTAAGAGATCTTAAGAGTGGCGAAGCAGGAGTGGTACTTTAGGATAACTGTGTGCATTATCTCATACCGTTTTGATCCTTTTTCCAAGCTGAGGAACGGAAGGCAAGCGCGGCGTGGGCCGAGGGTGGAATTCAGGCTGGGAAATGAAGCTTGCACGTCCAGTTCCACCGAGACGCTGCCAGCCACTTGCAAGCTGTGGCACTCACTTGGGCTTCCAGCCAGTGCCGCCATGCTCTGCTAGGCAATGCAGCAGGCGAAGCGGGAGTTTCTGCAGGACTCAAGCTTGCTGAGAAAATAGTGGGTGGACAGGAACAGGATGCCTGTGCTGGTGGTTCGTGACAAAGCTGTATCGCCTGTGGACATGTGGGTTCGTGTTTTACTCAAGCAATCCTCGCGTGCTCTGGAGGTGATCCTAGAGGGATCTCGGACATTCTGGGACCTAGGAGTGGTCCTTTACTGCATCGGGTTTGCGCCTATGCTTTTTTGAGGTGATGTTTGCAGCAGGAGCAGAATCGTCAGCAGAACTCCGTTGATCCTGATCGGCGGGAGTTCCTTACGCAGCAGCGCAAGCTCGCCTTGGTCGGAGGCCTCAGCCAACTAAGCGCTCCTTCTCGTTTGCGATGCGACTCTGCTCGAAGACCTGAGCTGATGCCAGATACAAGGCCTGTGAGCATGCATCTTAGTGAAACAAGGGTGCTACTACGGTCGGCACACAAAGGCAACACGGGGCAGGATGAACGCTGCATGCTGCTCATGCATGTCACGAGACTTTCAGGCGCAGGGCTTTACCCCAAAAGTTGAAATGAACTGTAAGGCGCAGTGATTCAGTGACGCGCCACGTGAGTTGCCACACTCTTGCTGTCTCGCCCAAGGCCCGAATCGAGCGCGAGGAACAGGAGAAGAGGGACCAAGCAGAGAAAGAGGAGGAGGCGACCGAGGGACCATGCAGCGTGCAAGGTGAATTAGTAAGTAAAAGCTGGGGCATGTGACAGACAGTGCCTGGGAAGCTGACCTCTCCGGCCTGTGCACTTAGCCGCATATGCACATCTGGTTGTTGCAGGGAGTCTCTTCCTCCTTATGCTATAAGACCCCTTCGCAAATGGTGAATCATACTGGGGGTGGTTTTCTTGTTCGTTGCACGGACCGGTGCTTCTTTCTGATTCCTTTCATCCTGGAGTTGCAGTCCCTGCAGTGCTGCACCCTACCAGTCCCCGCTAAGCCCTGCAGTTCCGCATTCTTGCTGCCAAGACGTAGCAAGACCGGGGACTCAGAAAGTTCGGATGCCTTGCACTTCCTTACAGTCCATGTTTATGCTGGTCCGTGAGATCTCATCCCCTACCTACCCCCTCAACCGTTCAAAGTTTTTGCCCTTGCACACCCGATACATTCCGTCTGCCAATCGTAACAACAGCATGAATGAACTCGATAAATCACGCATGCAAACCGACGGATGCCTGTAATGCTCCATATAGTTAGTGTCTCGCGTTTCGCCAAGAGAATGATTGAATGTGGTTCACACCGCCAACATGAACGGGGAATAAAGTGCACCCGATTCTCCCTGGCTTTCGCTACGGCCAGCCTTGCTCGCCTGCAGGAAGCTTTGCGGCAGACACCCGTCCAGAAGGGCGACCCCCAGGCCCTGGTGCTTAGAAGTGAGAGAGCTGTCACTTTCAGGGTTCTGACAAGGTGATATGTCGGAATCAAATTTGGTGACGCTGATCAGTCTGTGGATGATGGAAAGCGTCATGTGAGCTTCAATAGTTTTGGTATGAATGATTTTCCTTAGTATTGCCGTGATGCCAATAAGGACGTGAAGATGCTTGTGGACTGGTCGCAATAGAGATTGGCGATGGTCACCCATTTGCAGCATTTAAAAGCATGTGAGCAAGAACAGCCCAAGCCTTGTTCGCTGCTCAGTATAAATGGTAGTCAACAATCAGCACAGCATCTTGATTCCAGGAACAGCTTTGTTTAGATGAAGTCTTTGGCGGCTGCAGATTAAATGATTACCCCACAGCAGCGCAAAAGGTAAATTCATCGAGCGCAATCACGCCAATCATAGCAGCAGCACCAATGAGAACGTTGAGCCACCATCACCGCCGCTGCCAGCACCACCGCCACTATCAGCAGCAGCAGCACCACCACCTCCCGCACCAGCACAACACCACCTCCCGCACCAGCACAACACCACCAGCACCTCCAGCATCACCACCATCAGCAGCAGCACCACCACCAGCACCAGAACAACCACCATCACCAGCACTGCCAGCTCCACCGGCACCACCAGCATCACCACCACCAGCGCAACCAGCACCACCCCCAACACCAATGTCATCGCCGTCATACTCCTCACCATTAGCATCATTAGCACCATCACCACCGCTGGACCAGTACTATTGCCACCACCGTCATCATCATCGCTTCATTCTGGCGGCAAGAAGGCAATGGCACGATTACTGCACAAACGTAGTCATAAGAGAAAGCTTGAGTTAATCGGCTGCATCATGATGGCGCTTGCGTAGCATAAAGTGCAAGGGCACATGTGAGGAGGAGGAGGAGGAGGACCAACACAGCTGCTATACTATGTTGTACTGGCGATGAGGATAGTGTGGATAGTGGAGTGAAGATACCAGCACTTGCTTGCTGTTTTGCTGCCTAAGGCCTTGGACGCTTACGTCAAAGACTGGAAGGCGAAGGTCGAACGCTTCGGCCCCGAGGTGGTTCGAGAGCAGGCGGCAAGTGCTGCTAAAAGCTGGGCCTGCGCTTGGATCGTGTCAAGACATGACGTATCGAAGTGATGCCTGCACGGCCTGTGACCAACACAGTTGCGAGAAGCCGAGAAAGCCTAGAGGCGTAGACTTGCGAGCCCAACAATCTTGTACAGGTCACACTCGAGGTAACTTGGCTGCCGTTAGAAACTTGATCTTACATCACACATCGTGAGGCTGCATTGGTGCTTCGGAGGTGAGCTTGCGCTCGGACAGCAAGAATAGGTTTCTTCCCGTCAGCCCGGGCCTGACCCTATATATATATATATATATATATATATGTACACATACAGTATACATATATATGTATATATATATATACATATGTATAAATATACATTATATATATATATATATATATATGCTGCCATAGTGTTTGTGACCGAGGCACAAACTTCGTCTTGCAATCACGCAGCAAAGGCTGCTGCGGCAGCCATAGACTTCCCCTCAGCTCACCAGGATCTTCTGCCGGCCGTGTAACTTACTTCGTCAGCTTCGGGGGGGTGGTTTGCTGGGATGCTTCTTAACCTTCAGCTGCAGTGCCAGTAATTTCGGCCGTGGTATCGAATTGCGCAGCTAAGATTTTCCGAAGGCGGGTCAGTTTGAGCTGTTCAATTGCAAGACTTTCGCTTCAAGTCTAATAAGTGTAATCTAAGCTTGTGCAAAGGCTGTTGATTTGGAAACCCTATGAAATCCTGAACTCTTGGAATGCCGTTTTGCAGATAGGCCCAGTCAACTCTTCGAATGGCTAGAAGCTGAATCCGCTTCGCTCCGGAACTTCTACTAAGGCAGAGGCACAGCGCAAGGCAGATTCACACCGGCGCATGAGCACAGCTGCCATATCCCTGGTCCAAACGTGTCTTGCTTTGGATCCTGGTCTTGAGAGTCTCTCACGAGTAGTTTTCTTTCTGGATTTCTGTTCGTGCCGCGGTGACGCCTTTCCTGGTGGGCAGATGCGCATGAATGGTGAATTGACGAGCTTCATGCTTTGTCGATACTGTATTATGCCGTGGTAGTTCTGACACTCGAGGCGCAGCACCTGCCCAGATCACCAACCGAGAAGGTGGGCTGCGTGCTGACCTTTAGATGCCACGTCCGCCTGTCGGTGGCAAAGCTGGACGTAGCTCGCAATGCTCTAGTACGCTAAACAACTCGTTTAAGATTCGACAGTTCGCATTGCAGAAGCGCCCCTACCGTCGTCGATTCATGCCGCCTGTCTCAAAGAAGGTTTGGAGGGCAGCGGTAGCCGCTGGACTAGACTCGCTGCCGGAAAGTGTCCACAGTAACTGCAAATGGATCTGTGCACAAACCGTGAGAGATGAAGTCTGGAAATGGACGTGAAGATGTAGCTCTCCCAGTCGCATCTCTTAATGCAGATCATGCGCCAAAGACTTGCAAACCTGGGGCCAAAGGGCTGTTAGAAGGCTTGCACTCTTGCATGCCAACTTCATCGACATAGATGCCACGGACAACACAGCCATAGTGAACGCATAGACTAGCTACTCCCCTGCCTATAGGCTAAGAACCCATGAAGTATGCTTGGAGCCATGCGTGGGCACTGTCATCTGACCGTCGGCGGCAGTGCTGAGGAATGGCCGACAACACAAACTTCAAACCTGCGTGGCATTATGACCTTGAAGACGGCGATGCCATACCGGTGGGAGACCGCTTAATGCGTGTGACAGACATCTGCTTCACGCAGAGGGATGTCAACGACAGCTTCTCCGATTCACGACGCCCGATCATGGAGTTGATAGACGATCTGTTGCAAGGGCGCAAACACCCACGTGAGGTGCCCCGAATTCGGGTGGCTTTCCCAGGTGCCGAAGGTGGCTCCTTCGGGAAGTCCTTCTACTCTGCTGACAACAGGCGCTTGTTCGCTTTCAAGCATTGCAATGTCGACTGGGCTCCTGTTCGGGTACTCCGCTGGGAGAAGCAGCACGAGTTTGAGATGAAGGCCAAGAAGGGAGAAGCTGTTCGAGCAGAGGGCGGTGGTCATCTTGCCGGGATGGTGCAACGGCTAGCAGACCAGCCCCTTCCGCGAAGCCCTGTGATGCTCGAAGCACGGAGCAAAATCAGCCTTTACATGGACGAAGATGCTCAGAGGCTACACGATGAGCTGCGACACGCAACAAAACAGCGATTCTTGAAAGAGAGCGAGAATCGAGAATTCCTCGCGGACTGCATTGGGAAGGAATGGATGTTTGTTGTACAAATCCAAGACCAGATGATGCCAGCAACTTTGATGAAGGCAACGCCAGATGGTACTTTCGAAGCGTGCATCTGGAATGGTCAAGACACGGTCTTTCACCCATGCTTGCTGCCGAGTAACATTTGGCTAAACAGTCAGGCGCCTGCCCCACGGCAGCTCGCTTTGAAAGATCTGGCATGTTCAAGCTTTATTGTCCCAAGCGACTTGAATGCCAAGTTGCCCATCCCCTGGTGTGCAATCTGCAGCAGGCGTATAGGGTCATCTTCGAAGGATTTGAAGCGGCACGAGAGGGACCATCCGGGCGCCTTCAGGTGCTTGGACTGTCCAAAGCAGTGCAATTGCAGCGAAGACTTGCGGCGCCATTCCAGGAAGATGTCCCACCGAATCCCAATAACGCCACTCGCTCAGAGCACAATGGCATGGTGGTTTCATCGTCTGTTTCGCAGGGCTTTCCACAAAATCAAAACTGCATAAGGCACGAGTTGTTTTTAAGCTCAACATGTGGCTGCAAGATCAACGTTAGATTTGAGTCAAGTGCTGTTGAGCTTATCGATTTCCTCGCAGGGCTGTGGGCCTTCGTTGGGTGATTTGCACCGTGGTGCATAAACAGTTCCCGCTCGCACCTCTGTGTAGAGAAGTGGGCGGGATGTTGCAGGGGGGACGTTTGCAGGTGTCTGTAGCTCACATGGCGGATGAAGACAGCACCCCATGTATGCCTTGGTCTGCGCCAGCAGTCGCGGCACAGTTTCCCAACACAGCCACAACTTACCTCAGTCCGGACAGGGCGACGACGCATCGTCCTTGGCAACATGTTGGTTTCCGCATGCAGTCGTGAGGCAACACATCATAGCGCATCTACGGTGTTGCAAGCTTTGCTGAGTTTGCAACAACTTTTTGGAACTCAGGTTTTCGCCGAAGGACACATACTTCTGCCGAATTGGTGCCGAAGCTGACAGCTCTGATGACTCGCAAGAACCAGGTGCCTCATATGTCCTCTTAAGAGAAAGTCCAAGTAGCTCGAACTCTAAGTCTGAAGCTCGCGTTGACTGCATGCCTCAGGCCCGTCATCTGCATCAAGCCACGGTGAGCCGCTGCCCGGCACTTTCGTTGTGCCGAAGCAAAGCCGTTCTGGAATCTTGGGCCCGCTTTTTTATGGTGGAGGGCTTTGGGATGGGACTCAGTTTGAGGGGGCGATTCAGTTTGAGGGGGCGATCCGATGTTTCCGAGGGGGCATAGACTGTAGCATAGCCGTGATGAGCCCTTGCACAAACAAAGCAGGGTTTCAACACGGCCTTGTACAAAAGAGTTGCTACTGTAGGCATCTTAGCCTTTGAAGTTGCAAGCCGCCGGCTGCCTTTCTCATAGCTTGATCAGGAACAGCTCGCGCCCATCCATTTTGCATGGTTTGCGGTGAAGGGCTACCAGGACCCAAGCAGATGCGACAGCACGAGAAAGCTTCACATCCGGATCGGTACCGCTGTTCACGCTGCAGCTTGGTGCATTTCAGCAGGCTTGTTTCACAAAAGTTTGAACGGCAAACGAGGCGCATCCACAGACTGAGGTCAGAAAGCATTCGACTGCACCCAGGATTTGAGACGACATTCCCGATCTACCGGCCATGAAATTCCAGAGATCTTTAAGCTTCCTGACGAGGGCGACGAGGCTTCCTTCGATCTCTAGCTCTGTCCGGCAAAGCCTCGGTCTCGCGACGCTGTGCTAACTTTAGAGGCGCGTGTGATTGTCATGCATGCTGCTTGTGATCCGAAGGACCATACCCAACATGTTTGACAACCACGCAGCTACGTAGCCGGATTGGCCAAAGCGTGGTGCAGCAAAAGAGCTCGTGCACCATCTGTCCTGGATGACTTAAGTGAGAAGCTACTGTCGTGATGCCTTCACGTGTCATCATGGACGAAAGTGCTTGGCAATCATGACATCTTGTGAGTCTTCGGAGGCAACCAATTACTCGAGGTAGGAAGAGCAGAAGTTGGATTCTTTTGCGACCACCTGGTTTGCCCCGCCAAGTTGCTTCACGTATCGGATGTGGTGTGCAGGAGAGTGCATCGGGACGTCTGCTTGAAGCCCATTTCTTCTGGATACATATGCTTATCAGACAGTCGCTGCGGCTTACTACAAAACGAGAGATCAGGGAGAACAAGTCGGCAGTGCGAGGTTTAGACGGAAACACCTGGTGAAGGATGAAAGGCAGTAGGCGGACAGCAGTGGGTCCTGAGGAAAGCTCTGCGGGGTTCGCGATGCAGCTAGACGCCTGGAGCTATTCCACTAGTTACAATGCGGCAAAGCAGGTGACGAAACCTTCAGAAAGAAGTTTGCCCTTGGCCACGGTCCTGTTCTGAAACCTTCAAAATTGCAGGCGGAGCCCAAAAAGCAGATGTTCGCGCCGCCCCCGCAGTTCTGCCACGAGTTCAGATGGTGGGTCAAGTGTAAAAGATGCTTCGGCCATTTCCTTTCACATCTTTGCCCTCTCCCCGAAGTTCGTCTTTTCTGCCGCGATGCTTCGTTTTGGGTGTGAATCCTGCATCCCCTGATCCTTTCACGGACCCTTGTGGCTGTTCAGTTCTGTGCCGACAACATCTTTCAATATCTTTCTCGGGTAAACTACTTTCCAACCAAGACTCAAGATTGAAGACGGGGGCCAGGCGCACAGCCACGTCTCGGGCTGCCCCAAAATCATCGACGGCACACGGCTCGGTGTGCGAGAGCTGTATTAATAGTGAGGGAGGTACTTCGCTGCGTGGGTCGTGTAGGGGACACATGCGCCGCGGCGGCATGTCAACCTCGATAGCTGCCACATCATTACATAGACTAGAAGTAAATGCATAAGCCGTGTGTTCGAAATGTGCGTAGAAGAAACCTAGAAAGAGTGTGTGGGACACATGTTATTCGACTATGTACGTGGCTGCAGCATGCAGTGTGCTAGGCTCCGCCCCGTTTTCCCTTAGGAAATGAAAGGTTGCCACCTTGTTACACTCTGTTCAACACGATTTTCGTACCTAGTTGGTTCGCATGTGACTCACAGGCCTCCAGCCTTTATTTGTCAGCCTGGTCGAGGATAAAACCTGAGTCGAAATCAAAACTATAACCTAGCCCCAAATCCAGTTCGGCGGTGAGGCTCGAAGCGCTCTCAGCCCAAGCCCAACAAACCAGTTGCGTTGTTTGGATGCTTCCCAGCCCCTAAGGCGGCCGACTTCAAGCAACAGAGTGGATCCAGTCTCAGTGTGTCTCACCGCTTTGTACCAGTTGGTACCGCAGGACATAAAGTGGGATTTCAGATAGCTAACTGCCATCCAAGATATGCATGGGTTTTCTCTGCCGGTCTCGGGAAGGCCAATGGTAGGAGAGCTCGGAACAACAAATGCCAGAGACTCGGGCGTGGCAGAGGCACGGCGGACGACCACGCAGACAGGCAGTTTGCAGTGTGGGGTGCCTAGTTTGCCAACGTCTCCGTGGCTCCGGGAAGGTGATGGCTGAAATTTTCTTTGTGCGAGTTGCAAATACAACCGTTCATAGACTCACAGAGTTTAGCATGGGAGTCGTGCTTTCCTTGCTTCACACTTGGCCCGACACATCCAGTGTTGAGTTACATTCAGGGCATGTTTGTTGCTCCCACTCCTTCCAGACTAACCCTGGTTCATAGACCCCAAGGCCTGCAGGATGCTCTAACATTACTATCCGGTCTGGTTCTCAGTAGGGAATGGGGGAATGGATTATGGAGACCACGATTGGGGATCATAGGTATCCATTCCCCGAGTTCCCTACTAAGAACCAGATAAATCAGTGCATAAAGATTCAGGCTCGATGCCACAGAGGCCGAGGACTTGCCTGCGACGCAGAGAGAGGCAGGTCCTGCAGAGTACACGGCTTCTGTAAGACAACTGAAGTGCGCGTGGCAAAGACGGTGGTGCGAGTTTTAGCTTTCTTCGGTTGTGAGGTTCTCTCGGTTTGGTTGTGCAAGATGTTTCCAGAGTTCAAGCTTGGACTTGAAGCCAGTACTTTCGAAATCTTAGTAGTTCGTGTTAAAGCTGTTTTGCTGCGCTTTGAAGTAAGATACTGGCAATGTAATTTTGGTGGCCGGGCTGCGGAAGTATCGGCGCTGTAAAAATCGAGATGGACAGCGGAGCTACGGAGAAACTTCCGATTTCTGAGCCACCTACAGTACTGTCCAAGTTTGGAAGCCGACCCTCAAGTTAGCTCAAAGTACCTTGTTTTATCTGCCAGCAAACTCCTGAACGTAAAACACTACACCCTGAACCCAGCACGGGTTTTCGCAAACAGAAAGACTTCGGCAGTCAGTTGGAGACCCTGGCCCGTGCCTGGCAAAAGCTACATCCTCGGAGCACAGAGAATAGCGAGCTCTGGGCTATTTCCACCTGGAACTTTCAGGTTTCAGGATGTAAGAATCATCACGTATCAGTACTAGCAGATGTATTCTATGCTAAGCAGAAGACTGGCAATAATCGTACGCACGCACAGAAGGCATTAAAGGAGGTGACCCGGAGCTTTCGACCGATACCTGCATCCTGCAGGCCTCGGCAAAGAAGGGCTTGAACTTGGCTGACCTGGGTGCAACTGTCGTGCGAGGCTGAGGCTATACCATTGCTGTCCACATGTGTTCAAGAGGTAGGATATGGAGTTAATAACACTATATGAGATACGAGACTAAGTCACAGTGTACGTAATACTGGTATATTCCATATGATATGTTGTACGTTATATAGCCAATGCAGACTTGTTTATGGACATGTGTTACAGTTCTGTTCTCATACATGTCTTATTATGGAGTTTCGGCAACGTTGTTGACATCATTCTGACTATGATTACCATTAACATGTAAACGCGCACATGTACAATCATAAACATATGTATGTATGTGTATATATATACATTGATCGCAAACTCAGTCTGCTGTTTGCTGTGCTAAAACATTCTGCCCTGCTGCAGTGTTTTTTATGTGAAAGTACACAGCACATAGCGGCATATCAAAGTTAGTACAAAGTGTTCATACATATACATTTATACACACTATATAGTACGCTTTCAGTAAAGTACACCAACATATGTGTCCTTTCGCTAAAGTGCTGCATCGTGCCGTAGAGTATAGTAGGTCCAACAGAGTACAGCCAAGAGTATAGTGCATTACAGTGTGCTATACTCTGCAATAACGTGCTCTACGGTATTGTTTGTCTGTGCTACGCGGTGCTTACTCTATGGTACTATAGTGCGCAGTACCTTATTACTCTACACTATACCATACTGTACTAGACTATACTGTATCATATGCAAGACAGTACAGTACATGCAATTATAAAAGGCAATGCCGAACTTCTGGTATCTTTCTTTGAGTCAAAAATATACTGTATGACACTTGTTTAACCGTATCGGGCTGCTGTACAGTTCGTCAGCGTAGGTTCACAGGTTCAGGAACCTTTGCGGGTCGAGCTGTCAGATGAACTTGCAAACGCAGCTTCCGATTGCGCGGACCTGAAGAACTGTGAGTCAGTAGGTTGTTCGGGCCCGACGTACTCCCTTCATGTAGGTCGACAGTTTCTTGAGACGATATGGTTTTAGACATTGCAATTTAGGGAAAGGTTGTAGAGCTGGGTGGCAAAGAGCAATCTTCCAGGCAAGCAGTTTGCACTTGAAGACAGTAGCTATGGGCCAAGAAGGCTGTGTTTTCAGAAAGGTCTCCCTTTTGCAAGGCTTGGGTGTTGTGCGATGTTGGAACCAAGGGGGCTCGGGGCTCATGATGTGGAAGCTAAACCTTGAGCGAGGCGATAGTCTCAAGACCAAAGCTGGTTATCTGAGGTTCCTGACTTGTGGAAGGACCTAGAGGAGAAGAACAAGGCCCCGGCTTTTGTCGGGTCACCCATGGTTTTGCCTCACTATACCGCTAGAAACTCGCGGCAGGAGGCGGAACTGGCAGTGGATGCTGCAAATGCTGCTGCCAGTGTCTTCTCCTCGGGAGATCGGAAAATCAGTGTTCACGGTAGACTTGTGCCGGAGTACCGGGGTAGAAGATTCCGAATGCGTGAAGCTACTCAATCCCGCAATGCTGTAGGTGCCCAGCAGTTCGGTCAATTTTACACAAGTTGCCTTGTCTAACCTGGTTGTGTCAAGACTGACGCCAAAACCCCGCCGGTCCTCATGCTTTCGAGTTCCTTGACAGAGGGTCCTTGGACAAGTGCACCTCTCAAGGCATAGCCTAATCTTGGGTGTTTCTTGCTGGCACAGTGTTACTCATCCGTACCGCAGGGGCCCAGCGGTAGTTAGAAATCATTAGATCAAAGTCCGGTGCTGCTTGGCAACATATTGGTAGTACTGTTTGAGAGTTCCATGTCACTGCAAGAGGCTATTTACGCGATACTGTGCGGCTGGCGACCGTGACGTCTGCCCATCTTGCTTGCCCTGAGCGAGAAAGCACACGAGGGGTGCGGAGGTCTTACAAGTCTTACCGTCTTACCTGTAGATTCAAGACTCTGAAGCCCTCCCACGAACCCTGCACTGCAACAGACCATAGGTCTGCAAAGCTCAATCAAGAAATTGTGATGTGCTGATATTTGTCTGCAGCTGAGGAGGCGTACAGGGATGAGAAGAAGAAGTCTGCGGCATCAGGTGAGACCAGAGGGGCTGAAGTCTCGGGGCCGGGCTAATGCGACTATTCTTGCTTTTTTCCAAACCAGGAGAGTCACCGATCTTTCGGTTGTAGTCGACCTGCCGTGATTCGTATGCCCCTCCAGCTCCAGGTGCCGACACTGAGTTGCAGGACCTGGACTAGACGTTGATGGAGCGAGCCCAAGCAGGAAGCCTTCTGTAAACGCTGGATGTCACAGGAAAGCTGCATTCTGCAGTTCTGGTAGGGGACCAGGTTGAACTGGGTCGCCGTCGTGTCTCACGCTCCACCGAACACCCTTCGTGCAGTCTCAGGGAAATCTCCTCACGCGACGACTGCGGCTTCAAATTTCGCTTTGCTTTGTTGACCTTTGTTGAGCAAGTGAAAGTCCTGTTTCCCGATTACCACTACCCTCGACACGACCGTCAAGTCAGCCTCAGTCATTCGCCACCTGTGTTCGGAGGTGTACCGTGCCAGTGTCATGTAGTAGCCGCCGGGCAAAGACTCCGGCAATCTTCACAGCTGTCGGATCTGGGTGCCCTTTAGGAGTAAGTACATGAACTGTTGGCTTGGAGCGACAGGGCTGCTCCGAGACCCGGGTTTAATCATCATCGGGCTCGTGATCTACGTTAAGCCGGGTTTAGTGCCAGAAGCTGGACAGCTGTCGGTGCATGAAGCGTGCCTTGCTTCAAAGCCTTGGACAAACGGCCAACTTGCAGGGTTTGCGATTGCAGCGTGGCGTACTGGTGTGCGAGTGTTAAGGGCACCACTTTAACCAGCGAGACCCTGTTGGCGTGCATCGTGGAGCGATACCGTCTCACAGCTGCCGTCCAGTACTTCTGGCTTGGTGCCGTGTGCTGCACATGGTGTACATGGCTTGGTGACGATGCCTATCGAAGTCTCTAGGACATGACACGCAGGGTTCTCGAGAGCATCCACTGCCAGTGGCGCCTTCTCAGCATGAGTCACATAGTCAATGATTGGACAACCGACAAGTCAGCCTGCACCAACTCCCTATGGCATGGTTCGGCAGTGACGCTGCAGATTCCGCTCCGGAGCTCGGACAGCTGGTATGATGCATGGCTGCATGTGGCAGGCCATACCTCGAGGCGAGGCCCAACTTCAGTTGTAAAGCCCAAAAACTGCAGGCATGGCGAGGTGCGATCAGCAGAACGAAGCCGAAACATGGAAATGTAGTTGCTTAGATACCCAGCTTGTGGCCACGCTGCAATTCATGCCTGCAAAAGGTTGTACTCTGGTCTGGTAGCCCTTACAAGCGAAGCTCGGCTGTGATGCATCAAAGGTGTGGCCTGTTCGGCCAGCCCGACATCTCTGAGATGCAGCAGGTGCAAGGCGCCGTACTGCTCCGCCACACAGCCGCAGTATGCCGCAGAGAGACATCAGAAAGTCAAATGCGCATGTTGAGGTATTCTTGGGAAGAGATAAGGTTGGTAGGTGTGCAAACCCTGGCAGTATCAAAACACCTTCGGTTTATGCAGGTTCCATGTCAACGGCAGCATTGGCCGCAGCACAAGCAAAGCTGCACCACGACTCCAGCTGGCGTAGCTTGCTTTGATTAAGTTTGATACTGGGTAAGGGTCTGAAACTTCTTTGGGGGTCGCGCCTGGAGTTACTTCCCTGTCAGTGGTCCACGGAATTGCGCTCCCGAAACGAAGCCTTGTCTGCATGTAAGAGAGCGAATGCAAGCCATCAGGGTTAAGACATCAGCAAGCCTGAAGCAAGCAGATTCTTCCAATTTGTTATCAGAGGGCCTGCTCTCCCGAGCCTGCTGAAAGCAAGTACATGATCTGACATTTGGTCTGCTTGGAGAGCTGGAGGTGGCGCCAACACCCTCTGCTCATGACTTGCGACGCGAGCTGAAGCCATTTGCTGCCAAGGGCTGGCAGGACGGTTGTCGCATGAGTTCTTGGGGTTTGGGCGCGGGGCTGTCGCCGTAGGACGGAGCAGGCAGGCCATTGGCTGAAGCCTCGGGCTTTTGCCAATGCACTCAATGCGCGGCGAGGATTCTGGTACAGGGATGATTGAAATCACGTCACACAACACACTGCAACTTATCAACTTCGCAGGCATCTCCAGTTTGAGTTGGGAATGCACCCGAAGAGAGGGGCACGTGTGCCTAATTATTTGTGGATCCTTCCTGTCAGCGATAATGCGGAAAGGACTTTCTCGGCGAGCTTGGTGCGTCGAGCAAGGAGCAGGTGTGGACCTTGTTGGCCGCATCAGTCCTGATGTGGCGTGCAGAGCATGCAGCATGCATTTGGAGAAAACTTGGCGTCTGGCTTCTGGTCTTGCTGGAAGCACCTGTGCAGGGGACACTAGCTCACGACACGCTCGAAGGCTCTGAAGTTTCTCATGGTTTGCTTGAAATCCACCTGCTAGGTGGAGAGGGTGAAGCATCGCCAGTGCTTTGGCGTGGCAACGCTAGAGGCCCAGACTTTCCCTTGAACTCTTTGATGTTTTGTCTCATGCAGAGTTGTTGGTACCTATGGGGGTGAAACACCCAGAAACAAACCACGCCGTCGGGCCTACAAGACTACTAGGCCTTAATACTTGCCAACACTATTTTGGGGGCTCCTTAGTATAATAAGTTTTGTATAGTACACCCCAAACCCCCTTCTAATTACTAAGGCCTCTATATTAGACCAGTTGGAGACCTCTTGACTGGGACAGGCGCTGCACAGCTTGCCTTCCTTCGCGCGACCCTGGCCTCGCATTTGGATGCTCCCGTTGCTCGTAATACAGAGCGTGGTATTTCAAGTCTTTGGGGATGCTAACTGATCGCACATCATGCAGTTTGCTCAATGCTAGCATCATCTACGCCAGAAGGCAAGTCTGTCCCTTTGCGCATTAATATAGCTCGGAGCCAAGTCCAAAAAGTATTGTTGAGTTCTGAGTACGTTGCTGTGATTTCATGGCAAGTGGGTGGGAAAGCCGAGGACTAGAGCCAGTCAATGGGCGTTGTGCGACTTGCTGCACTGTGAGACTTTGAGAGTTGAATGGAAATCGAACCCTTCAACCGTGGCTCCTCATGTTGTGCTGTCTACCGCTCACTAGCCGGGAGTCGCTTGCTCAAGCCCGGACACCACAGCTACTAACAGCTGTAGTGCCTCGGGACCTGGGGTGGACATGTATCCATCGTTACCTCTCGTGCCAACTCCGGACCCTGTCTGCGTGGTAAGCTCACTCCCGAACAAGCGTAATCCTTGCAGTAGTTGGCGTGCCTTCGTGCCTTCTGCCGGGTTCGCTGGAGGTGATGTGGGTGCTCGGAGCCCGCGATGGCATCGAGAAGCGCCAAATCGTTCAAGGACAGAGACTACCTAGTGCCTGGTGTACCGTCCACACATGACAGGGCCTGCGTGTTGAGCAGCGCCTGGTTGAGAGCGAGGGGCCCGTTATCGCGCGGCCTTTATGCAAGTCGGTGTCCAGACGAGTATGGTGATGCATCTTGATCTATCTTGATCTCGTGTGAATGCAGAACGCATGCTTTACAGAGGATCGATGAGGATCGTGTTGTCGCCGTGATACACTTTGAGCCACACCTGAAAGTGTGAGAAGGAGGCTGGCAGCGGCTCTTCGAGTCCTTGGAAGTGGGCTGGGACGTGGAAGCTTGGCTCAGGTGTCGTAGTCTTGCTGGTCCTTGCAAGGGACCTCCTGCAGTATGCTGAAGAACGTGTCCTTTTTTCTCCCCTCTGACCACGATCAGCCGACCCTCGGCTAAAACGGTTGCTAGGTTCTCGTCGGACCCGAGATGAGTGAGGACAAGGCGCAAACGGATGTCGCAGACTTGACTCGCACGATGCAGTCCTAAGTTCACATTCGGCAGCTTGAGTCTTTGATGAGGGCCAGCTGTCCATTCTTACTGTTACTCGCTGTTGCTTGGTGGCGTGTGCTGAAGTTCTTCAGCGCGAGTTGCATGGGGCCGGGAAGAACCACAGCTACAGTGGCTCAGCGCGAGTACTTTCGGAGCGAAGACGTCATGTTCCCGTGTCGCAGGCAGTCCTCACACACTCGGGCATCAGGGTCTACACCTTCGCATGCCTGGCCCACGAAGCTGTGATGCCCCAGCATCTGCAGCGTCCCACCTTCATCTGCGCATTCAACTCAGGCCTGGCATGTGCTTCTTCAGGGTGTCCAGGGCATGGTGCTCGTTTGACCCTTGCGTTTAAGGGAGAGACCAACCCCTGAAACAGGCCTGGGTGCAAGTGTGCCAGTGCACATGAAACCTTGGATCCAGACCTTGGTCAGCGGCTTAGTGGTTTTTCCTTGGGTTCCCTTGGGTGTGATGCATGCTGCTGGACCTTGCAGCTCGGTCGATGGTAACAGGGTGCCTGGAAGCCGCCATAGACTTCAACATGTCAGGTCATAAAATCATTAGGAGATCGCATGGCTAGGTCCAGGTGTGCATTCGGCAATTCAGATCCCAAAAGCCTCCAGAGCCCCAGGGCCTAAGAATGGAACCTGGGCACCCGATTCAATCCTGCATAGCGCTCTCGGAACGGCAGCAGGGCAGCAATGGTATCAGCGGGCTCAGCGAGGCCTTATAGAAATCTTCCCTTCAAACAGCTGCAAAGCGAGTACTCTTCATCCGTTTTCTTTGGGTTTGGGGATATTTGGGGTATGGGGAGAACCCCGTGACCTCACGTTTGAGGTTCAGCTGCTTGCAATGGGTCGACCGCTGTTGCTGACGTGCTTTGGCAGCTACGAGGCAGCTTCGGTATCGGGCTGCTGCTTCTGCACTGTTTTTATATGATCTGTCATACAGGTTAGTCTAGATTATACAAAGCAGCAGCATATGTAGCATTCTACAAATATAACTTACTTTGCATGGTATCTTAGCCTGTTCTTGCATTGCCTGGCTGATGGCTTCGCGATTCGGGCTACCCATCGGGTCCTCGGCTGCTTAGGAGTTTTGTGAAGACACGGCTTGAGAAGGGCTGCATGAGCTTTTGTTTGCAGTATGATGTGTTTGTTGAATGCAAGGTGGCAAGAGGCCTTTTGACGCGGGTCCGCATATTAAGATGTTCCCTTCGTGGTGGTTTTCTGACGGGTCGGGTGCTCTCCAGATAACTGTTTTGAGCCTCGTGTTCGTGATCCCAAGTCGGGGAGCACCGTAACATCTCGCAGGGCCAAAGCAGACTCTGAGATCCAGAACCCTCGACCACTCAAGCCGTCCTTGTTACATCCTGGAGGAAAACGGTCCTGGCTCCAAGCTTATAGTGCGATGATGAAGCACCTCGCAAAGCAGGACTCGGAGCATACAGGTAGTACTAACAGGAGTAGTGGTGCAATTTCAGCCAGTTTCCCATGATCTCCAGCCGGCTGGATGCCGTAGACTCAAAGCTCGCATGCATGAAGCTCCACGCCAGTCCAGAGCTGTCACTTCCCGTTGCCCTTCGACCCACTTTGGTTCTCCAGGCCAGACTGGAAGCCTCCGTTCTCAATGCGCTGCAGGCCGTCGCTCACGGTCGCTGGGTAACCTTAGCGTTCCTCCCCACTAAGCTGCTGTGACGGTCCTTGTTCTGTTGCGGCAAGAGCTGCCTCAGATCCATGATGCTACATGCCAGCCTTCACTTTTGCCATTGCCACTGAGATTTTTTGCTGCTTTGCAGCCGGCCCCGCGGATTTTGAGGGGTTGGCTTCCGATTCGCGTCGCGAGCACATGTGTCGAAGCCACTTGCGACCAGTACTTGTGCTAGCCCTCTTCAGCTACTAAGGCGAGTTTGGGCACCCTGGCTCAGCCAAAAATTCACGTTGCCTCGCCCCAGAGCCCAACCCCTCATTACACGGTCTTGCGTCCGGACTCTGATGTAGCCTTGGTTCTTTATTATTCCTCCTATTCTTGCTGTTATTGTTATTGTTGCTGTTTTTGGTTTTTGCATTTGCGTTTGTTGTTCTTGCCGTTGTTGCTGCTATTGCTGTTGGTTGTTAGTTGTTCGTATTGTTGGAGTTGCTGCTGTTACTGTTTCTGTTGCTGCTGTTGTTGTCGGTGGTGGTTGGGTACTGGTTTCGTTTGCTGCCTGTTTTCTTGTGGTGAATGTTTGGTGATTGCTGGTGTTGCTGTTTTTTGCTTTTGCTGATTTCCATGGTATGATGTTCATGTTCTAAAACTGCTAGCCATCACGTGTTGGCATTATTGTTGTTACGAGTGGCAGTCGTCGTCGCCACCACTGCCGTCGTAGATACCAATAGAAAGACAAACACAGAGATCACAGAACGTGTGGTCATTCCCATGCCCTGCAGCGCTGGTACTGATCACTGCTAGCTGCTAGTCGCTAATTACATGGGTCACTCGCGAGATTGCGTGCAAGGCGCAATACATGCCTCACAAGCAGGGCGGCTTCGGCAACCTGGCCAAAGTTCTCTGCATGGGCATCACAGGATCCGATTTCGTGATTGAACAGCTAGTGTGGTTCTTCTGAGTGCCGTTTTTTTGTCAGGGTTTCGGCTCAGGCCGGCACTTGTGTGAGAAGAGACGAGAAGGGACTGCGCATCTGATGATATCCAGGTCACGTGCTCGAGGCCGACAAGCCACTGAGCATCTGCAACGCTTTATTCACTTGGGTTTTGGGGAGCTCCATACCTGAGCCGCTCTTGTTAACGGACGTCAAGAGCTACGTTGAGAAGCAGCTGGAAGCGTCGCAGCTGCTGCTCTTTCTGAAGGAGCTGCGGAGCCACATCCGGATTCTGCAGGATCCGGACGGCTCTGCTCATGCTGGCTGGGCCGAGATGTATGATGGCAGGTTCATCCCAGCCATTAAGCAGGCCCTCGAAGAAGACGATGACGACAGAGGGGGCATCCAGCAGATAGTGCGCTGCACGATGAAGACCATCGCGTCGGCCTGTGCTGTGACTGCCGCCTCACGGCTCTTTCTGTACCTGAGTCTTTGTCATAGTTGGGTAACATTTTACATTTTATGGCTACTCAAACCCAATATAAGGAATAAAAAAGTTACGTTATGGATACTTAAGCCCAATAATGATCCTATCCCAAGAATGATCTAGGAGTGGCTTGGAACTCCTGCGCTGCTTCAAGCGCTGGGCCGAAAGTGCTCCCTGGACTTCGCACGCCTGGATACGGGAAGAGACCCTGGAGTCTTAGAAGTACTTAGAAGTAATTTTTCATTTTTGGTTATTATAATCCCTAACAATCAGCTAAAATTACAATTTTTGCTAGGGTTCTAAGTTCAGTATAGGAGTGGGTGAGTGAAACCCAAGAGCTCCTGGAGCGCTTGGGCTCCGACTGCCAGAGCCTGGAGCAGATCTCGCAAGATCAGGAGATCAACACTTTCTCTGCATCTCTGCAAGTTCGGCTGGAGAGTGGCTGCGTTCTTTTCCAAGAGCCGAGTTTTGCTTCCCGAGTTGTTGCGCGAGTGGCACGAGGCCACCCCTTGCAAGCAGATGCGCACAAGGGCCTTTGGATCCGTGTCTCTCACCAATCGGGTGCCAATGTCTAAAGCTTGAGAATATGCTTTTCGGCTCCTTTTGTGGTTGATCCTCATCCGTATTTGAGACACGCATTAAACAGATTACAAACTTCTGTCTGCTCGGATGCCGAGGAGCTTGTTGGCTGCACGGTTACACCGAGGAGGGACACGTCTGCGACATTACATACTGGGACGTGAAAGCCTGGGAAAGCAAGAGTCGCCCCGCCTCACAGGGCTCCTTCGGGCTTTCATTGGGCCTAGGCTGTTTGTGGAAAGGGCTTCGTCCATGCTAGGTAGGAGGGAAGAAACACCCTGGTTGGTCTGTTTTGTGCGTGATTGCAAGTCCGCCCAAGAACCACCCCGGCCTAGCTCCTGCTTCCTTTGCAATCCTGTACACACCCCGAAATTGCCTAACGTCTTGTGGGTTTCTGTCTTTCGGTGGAGTGATCTTTGACAGAAACCCTGAATGTGCAGGGCGGCTAGGAGTCTTGAGCCACCGATACCACTTATCCTGTGGTCTTCGCTGCCGCTGCCAGAAGCCGAAGGCTTGCGTAGGATCTTGAGCCAAATCTCAAATGCATGTCATCCCCGCAAGTCCAGCCAAAATCAGACAACAGACCAAAACCCTCTTAAACGCGATGGGTTGGGGCCGTGGGGGCCGTGGCCAAACTCGTGGGCCGCGGCTGCAGAGTCCGAGGCGCTCTCCGGGAGGAAAGCGGAATTCACAGGCTTGAAGTGGCCTTTCTAGTTTCTGCCGTGTTTTTTCAGTGGGGCATAAGAGGGACCTGAGGAACTCAAGGAGGGTCTCAATCTCGAGAGCTGGGCTTGCGTGGTAAGTATGGTTGTAGTAGCAGCACCCGCAGCAGTAGCAGCAGACGTGCAGCAGCAGTAGCATTCAGAGTGGTAGCAGGAGGAGTGAGAGTAGTAGTCGTAGTGGTGCAAACCTGGTGGCAGTGCCAGTGGTCCTCGCTGCCAGGGCTGCGCGATTACAAGCTTCAAACGTTGCTGATAACGTTACAGGCCATGGAAGAACAGATGAGAATGACGAGCACCACAAAAGTCAACCACATGGTGTTAACCATATGACAACAGAGGCAGCATAGTACCAAGATCCTGCCTTGGCGGTATGAAGGTTCTTCATAAGAAGAGTGCCAGACATGCTTAATTGCGAGTTTCTTAAGAGGTTTGCGCGCCTTTGGTTACGGCATCGCAGAAGCATGTCATACTGCAGAGGACAGCAAGCGCCAGGGCTTGGATTCTCGCCGACTGAAGTAGCCCTCGAACCGAAGCCCAACAAACCACCAAAATTGCACAGGCCGTCATCCCCGAGGCCGGCATCGCCGGCGGGATCTCACTACTTCGAAGATGCCGTGGATGCAAGAATCAGACTGATTGAAGTGCAAATGTCTCTGGGATTTGCAAGGGCGTGGACTTCAGTCTGATCTGCTATCGATCTGAGACCGAGAGGGAGCTTCGGGTTCCGGAAGCCTGCAGTGGGTTCGGAGCGGCTTTCAATTTAAACTGGACTTCTGTCTTGCTTTTGCTGGGCTGTCAAGCTGACACAGTATTGAACCACAGTTTCGATCCTGCATCGACACGAGAAAGATTTCGTTTATGCACAAAGGCTGCTCGTGGGTTAAACTCCTACCACCCTGCCACCGTCGTTTGCGTGCATTAGGGCAGCTAGGGTGGCGACGCACATTTGTAACAGCTTCTGTCGAGTGACTCTCGGGCACTCAGAGGCCGAGAAGTGTTTCGGGGTTTGAGATGCTCAGGGCAAGATAAGCTATTTGAGCTTGATCTGGATGCTAGCAGGTTGTGCACGACTCAATGCAACCAAAACAAGCTTTTAAGTGTAAGTGCTAATATGTAGTCTCTGGAACTGAGCTCATGTCTGCGAGTCCAAGGAAGGGGACGAGGCCAGCAGCAAGGATCCGGCAGACAGCTCGGACCAGATCCTTTGCTTCAAGGTAGTAGCAGTCTTTACAGCCTGAGTCAAGTTGTAATCGGGCTAGGAGTTGGGTGTCCTTGATCCCGCGGACGTATGTCTTGACGGTTCTTGTGAATCATGAGCGAAGCTTGTAGTGGAGAGTGCCTTCAGCTGCTTGAACCCCATTCGGGAGTATGCCCGCAGCCGACGAGCTGCCCCAAAATGAGGATTGAGCGCTTGGAAAAGACACTCGCCGACATCGCGGCCATTGAAGAGCGACTGAAGCGAGGGGAGACGCAGCGCGGCACAACATCCCTTCAGATTGACCAGGTCTCGAGAGCCCTGTATACCCGAGTTCTCAACCAACATCCCCATGAATGAGGCTTCAACCCTTCTGATGCAGAGACGTTCAGGATTCTCACTTCGTCTAGGATGACTGCATCTGCTATTGAGATGCTATTGAAGCTCGAATCAGCAGGGAGGTTCAGAAAATAAGCGGTCCTGCACCGGAACCCTAGGTAGGACAGCGATCCCTAAAACGGATCCCCTGCTAGTAAGAATGCCCCCAGCAGACGGCAAGCAGGATCGGTTGTTTTGCATGCTTGCTGCATCCGAGACCTGCCATGGCACAGATCAAGAAGGTTGAGTCCAAAGCAGCGGTGGAAAAGGACACGTTGTTTCGAAATTCCTCGGCTGCAATCAGTGATGCGACTGTGCTTTCTAGCCTCCGGAGCTGCCTGAACACGACCATCTTTTTTCACTTCATAACGTGCATAGAGAGGACATGCTGTTTCGCGCAGCTTTTGCCCTCGGGATGAATCGCAAGGGTGTCGGGGATACAATCACGGCTCCTCAGCCTCAGCGCCGTGCGGTTGGATTGAGAGCATTGAGCCGCGACTTCAGGAGCTCCAGCAACTTCGGGACCAAAGCACCGAGGATGCCGCCTGAGATGCTTCACTCACGGCAAGAGCGAAGCTGGAGCCGTTTTGTTGCAGGACGTTGATGCACAGCTCGCCGAGCTCCTGAAGGCGCGCGCATCCTCATTATCACCACTTCTGTTATCAGCGCTGCCATGCCCATAGCCATAGTCGTTTTGAGACTTTGCTGATGAATGGCATCAGGACCATGATCATTCCGACGAGAAGTATCGAAACCGTCATCAACAGGTTCCTTACTTGGCACCATCACAACTATCAGCAGCGACACCCGTTAGGCAGCTGTCCATACCGTGAGCACAGCTCCCATCACCAGAAGCTGCAATGCAGCAGCTTGAAGAACCAGATTCAATTGCGAGCTGCTCTCAATAACCTCGACCAGTGCAACCACAAAAAGCGGTAGGATGGTGATGGCCATTATGATGTTGATCGTGGCCACTGTGGCAATGGGTAAGCATATGTTGCTGCTGAAGAAAAACGCCAAATCTAAAATGCAGATGTAGCAATGGCAGCTGCAACATCATCCCAGCCATGAGCAGTGGCAAAGAACAGCTTTAGGTAGTTTCAGGTTTACGCATCTACGCTGCCGAGTTGTTGTCTAAGCATGCGTTGCATGCTCGTGCAAATTATCGCGAAGGTCGAGCGAATTGAGACCCAAACGGCCCCACGCCCAGGAGAAAGCCGAATTGGAAGCAGAGTCAGCTGCTGTGGATGAGACCGGCTAGCAAATCGAGTTTGGCCGTAAGAACACTGGAGGAAAGGGTCACCCTGTTATGGACATGCTTGAGGCTTCAGGGTATCCTGGTCCTAGCTCTGAGGCCCGGCGGTTCATTTCAGGATTTCTGGCTCGTGTGATTGAGTGCGAAGTATGAGTGGGGGAGGCCCACGTTGACTGAAAGCCGCTTGTAATTCCAGGAGTAAATGACATGCATCCAGCCGTTCCTAAACATGTTGGGCACCGTCTCCAATCTTCAGGAACCGCCAGCTTTTCACTACTACAGACTTTGTCAGAGGCCTCGTACGATATCAAACCATTCGGGGCCACAGCTGTGTCTGCGGCCCCTGCTAGTGCTAGCAGTACTTGTAGTACTCGTGACTAGTTCGACTAGAACTTGTACCACTGGCCATACAAGTAGTGCTAGTAGTACCAGTAATACGTAGTTACGACTAGAATTACTAGTGCTACTGGCCACACTGGTAGTCGTCGACGCCGTCGTAGTGCAGCAGCCGTAGCAGGAGCAGCAGCAGGAACTCTAGCAGTAGCAGTAGCAGTAATGGTAGCAGCAGCAGTAGCAGTGGTACCAGTAGCACTAGTAGTAGGAGTCGGAGTAGGAGTAGGAATAGGAGTAGCAGTAGGGGTAGTAGCAGACAGAGTGCGACTGCTACCACGACGCTTCCGATTCTGCCAGTGACTGCTAATGTCAGTCCTGCTTAACAGCGACGAGTGCTGTTACTGATGCGATCGATGTCGTCAAGCTATCTGTCGAGGAAGGGGTGCGGCCTGCCCTGCCGAACGTCGTTCCGGAGCCTCTTCTTCTGCGAGACCTCGCTGGCCAGAAGAAGGCCCTCTGCGTGCAACCGAGCTGACGGCATAGGAGAAGAGTTGGTCCCAACCGTGAGACCACAGAGAGTAACGTAGTCGGTTTTCCAACAGTTTGACGCTATCGCTCTTGGCGGTGAAGCGAGGTTACCTGTCAGACTCCTGCATTCTGCATGGTCGTTGAGTTTTTGTTGTTGGTATTCTGGCTTTCGTGCACTCACCCTTTCACAATTTAAAACTTTGCAGTTGTAGTCCGAGTTCTACCATTGGGCATGATCGAGCCTGGAAACTAATTTTCGTTCTTTTTGCCTGACTATACGTGTGTGCGAAGTTCTGCCCAGTGCGACATCCGGAGGTGTCCAATGCATCTGGAACTGATCATCGTAGCAAGATGTCCCCCACATGAGGGTTTCTTGCTGTCCAGCCATGGTTTTTCGTTTTAAGGCTTGCATGTGTTGTCTTGATCAATCATCTGAAACCTGCAATAGAAGCAGGTCGTTTTACAGGTGCAGGCGAGGTGGTAGTGTGCTAGTTACTGCTAGTTTTGGGACACCATAGCTTTCAGCTTCTGTTCCTTGGCCGCAGTTGCTGGTGCCGGGACAGCCTCAGCCGCCCCGGAGCCCAACGCGCTTGGCTCCGCCCGGACCTCGACGAGAAGGATTCCTTTTGAGTCCTTGTGGTGCTTATGTGTGCATCGGGCGTCCTGGCAACTTGCACGCCACACATTCCCGTCATCTGACTGAAGATTCCCTGAGACGTCGCCATCCATCCTCCGATCTGAATCGTTTGAGGAGGGACGCGAGGCAAGCTTTGCAAAGCCAAATCCGTTGCACACCCTTGTTTTCGTGACAGTCTTGGTTTGTTCAGCGTCGTCCAGATTGTTGGTACGAGTTTTCCTTTCATCCTTAACGTCGGCCATGTGGATTGAGGTGTAGATCGTGGCTTGCCGAAACAGTGTGCCTAACATCCGAATCAGCAAAACCTGGAATCCATGGGTAGGGCCCCGAAGGACAAGCCTCCCTCCAGCCAAACATGTGGGGGCTCATCCAAATTATGGACCCATTTCGGGTCTGTATTGTACGTAGGTTAGGGGACGAAAAGGGGCCCATAATTTTTATCAACCTCCCATGTGAGGGTTCGTGAGCTGCACATCCTGGGCTCCGGACTTTTGAGGTGGGCAAAGCAGGACAGACAGCGATCGTGGGGCCCGGCAGCCGCTGGAGTTGTTGCCTGAGCTTCTGCTTGGCCTAGTATAGGGGCCTCAATAAATTCGAAGAGGGCTTTGGGGGCCCATTATAACTATAAATAGCATAATAAGGACCCCCAAGATAGTATTGGTAAGTATTTCGGCCCCTATAGTAGGCTTTTTGGTTTCTCGGCACCTGTGGATTCGGGGTTCAGTTTCGTGTAGATGCCAAGGTCTTGTTTCAAGTTTAGCCTCAAGCGTCCCCTTGTAGACAATCGATGAGCACCACGTGGGCAGGCGAGATGTCGTTGAAAATCAGTCGGTCATGACAACCCATACTGAGGCATACTGTACAAGTTCAAGCGCAGTGGGAATATAGCTGCTACCAAGGCCCGGGACTCGATGACTCCAACGTCGAAGCTGGGAGCTTGGACACTTTGGCAAGGCTCAAGGTTTCAAGTTTAGGCGCCCGGCTATAGGAGGCACCCTTGCATGCAGTTGCTTCAATCAGGTTTGCCCTCTGTTGCGACCCGAAGTGCATGTGGCCGCACATCTCTCGAATCCGGCATTGCTGGCCTCTGCACAGTGTGTCATTCGATTGACGCGCCGGATCCCAACCCCAGTTAATGCCACCACACGTGATCTCCGAAAGCTTTCGGCAATCCCGGAAAGCAGGAGTTGAGCCTTGCCTTACAGTTGTCAGAAGTAATGGGCCTCAGCGCCCGCGGGACAAACGAGTCGAGATTTTGCAAGGGCCGAGAAGCTCGGCGACACGAGCTCGACTTCGCCGTCCAGGTTGCTATCATCCGGCATTCGGGTTTCTGGCTCTGTTGATTCAGGGATTCTTCGCCGGTTGGGGGGTTCGGATTTCGAGGAATGGCCATCATGCTCTTGTGCTTGGATTTGGAAGTCTCTGGCTTACCGGAAGCCTGAAAGCATATTCTGAGTAGTTTAATTTAATACACTGTCTGAGGTTTCTGTCCACATGTTGGTTGCTGTGTGTGTTGATACTCGGAGCTCTGTTTTTGCGTTGAAGGGTCGAAGGCGTGACTGGTGCCTCTTGAAACCGCACGGCAGCATGCAGTCCTCAGAGATTGTGACAGGAACAGGAAATTGCTTATGCATGATTTGTGTACGTCCAGCAGTGCTCCCGCATCCGGCCATGCTGGAAGGAGCCGCGCCACCTCGCCAAAGCCAGAGGCCAGGATCTGCATCTGCCCTCCAAACCTCCGTGAAGCTCGCTCTGAAGCCAGAGTCCCAGCGCAGGGGGAGATGAGTTTGCCGCTGCCCGCCCGAGCCCAGGCGACAGAAAGGGAGGGACTTGGGGGGAATGCATGGGCACGAACCAAGGGGGCGGATGGGGGCGGGGGATCTTCGAGCTGCAAGCCTCTAGCAAGCAAGCAGGCAAGAGGGACAGAGTGGTTCTAGAGCAGGGGAGAAATCTGGGCGCAGGGGGAAGAGGGGGTTGGGCGGGTTTTCTTTACCAAAACCGTTACTAGACCAATTCTGCAAGATCCCCCAACAGCCAGTGCTGCACAGTGGCTGGACACATTCTAGCGCAGTCCAGGACGTAAGTCCTGTATAGTCGCGCACTGCATTTTCTCACACGGCACACATCGCGCCAAGTGCAACAGACATGCCGAAGGAAGGAAAGCACGCAGGCTGCTGAGCATCAGCGCTCACAGGGCACAGGTTGGCAGACTCTATACTTAGATTTCATCTCCAAGTCTGCGTCTTAGTAGCGACAGTTTGAAGTTAGAAGTTATAACTCTGAGAAAGTCCAACATGTACCGTATATTTTGTGTCGACCTCCGGTAGGCCGAGCCGAATCGCTGAATCCTGTGAGCAAGTGAAGCTAGCAGCTAGCATGCTCTCCCGTGCACTTCGCTCCGGAGGAGTGGCAGATTCGCCAACTACGGGATGACCTGTCGCTAGGCAAAGGAGGAAGTGCGAGGGGTTCGGCTTGAGGGACACTCTTATGGTGCCAAGTAAAAGCATCCATGCGTGAATCCCGCCACAGTGATTGTCTCAAGCGCATGAGACAGTTGTTTAACAGCCGCAACAAGCCCGGATTTCGATCAAAGCGAGCGTGGCGCTCGTACTGTGCCTTGAGCTGCTTTGGCCGAGGTGCTTCTGGAGCGAGAAGTTCGGATGCAGTGCCAGAGTGGATCCCTCTGCTGTGGTCGTCCAGATCACCGGGGAGGCTGTTTGTGCATTTGCTTGTAACTACAAGTAAGACTCGCAAATTTCGGATTGTGAGGGTACTGAGTGCGCACCGTCGCAAGCTGCCCGCAAAGTGTTGGGGCTACATGTACCAGGTTGGCTGAGCTACTGGGTTGCCCAGTTGATTTGGGTCGAGGCCGTAGCACTTTGCCGTGTTGAAGATATTGCACACTACTGATTGGCCGCTGTGTCTGCATGCGGTATGAATTTGATTAGACTTGCCACAAGCCTTGCATGACTGCGTAGAAGCAGTAGAAATCGATACCAGTGCCAAAGAAAATTTCCATGTACAGCGTTGGAATCGCAGTCGGTTTGCTCTTCATGAACGGTCCATGGCCTCTCGGACTGGCTGTGTGGTACCTCGTTTGTGCTTTCCAAGTGATGATTTCCTATAGTCTCCTTAAGATTTGTTTAAAACATTCTTGTCCATATAAAACCCATGAGAATATACAAAATAACACTGTTTATTATGGTTCTAAGGGGGTATAGTTTCTGGGTTGTCAATGCTGCGCAGTATATACTCAGCCAGTGGCGGGCAGCAAGCGCCGCAAGCTTTCGGACGCGGGAGGCCTAATGCTAAACACCGGTGTGGGCCCCAACGCTTGAGTCCTTTCCGGCCGAAACTGTTTGGCGAGCAGGGCACCTGAAATTGTCATTGTTGATGAGTTGTGATTCGGCCCTCATCTGAGCAAACCCCTCGAGGCTTGAATCGTCGCCCAACAGTGACCCCCAGTCGGTGAAAGAAGAAGTTCAGTGTCGATCAGGCGCAGGCCGGCGCAGCCAAGACCGAGCTCTTTGCACTGATGGAGCGCATGCCTGAGTTCGTGGAATGCCACTGCTGGTGCTGCTACTGCTGTAAATGCCACTGCTGGTGCTGCTGCTACTGCAACTACCTGACTTTACTGTCACCATTGCCATTGCTACACGACGGGGACGACGACGACTACTACTACTACACGCTACTACTAGTCATAGCAACTACTGGTGCTTCTTGCTCCTGTTGCTGTTACTGCCGATAGGATGCTGTTGCTGGCCCTGTGCCAGAACCTTTGAACTGAAAGTTGAGCAACTTTTGTCAGCCAAGGTATGACCTCGAGTTGGAGGCGGGTACCCTCAGCCGTGGCGTGGTCTCCATCACCGGGAGCCGAGCTCAGGGATCTGTGCACGGCGTGAAGATTCTAGGGTTTAGGGTTTAGGGGTTTAGGGTTTAGGGTTTACGGGGTTTAGGGTTTAGGGGGTTTAGGGTTTCTTGAATGGCTCTCGATGGAAGTATCTTGTTGAATCTGGCGAGGAGTACGAAGTCAGCTGGCAGCGCGCCAAGCGAAGACATCTCAAATCCCGATGTCGTGACTCGGCTCAGCAGTCGGCTTTCTGATGGTGTGGAAGACGAAGATTTCCAAACGGACACGGGCCAAAGAATTAGACGGCAAAGCTCTACAGTTTCCATGCAGCTACCTGCATTTCTGGGAAGGTGTTCGATTGCTGCGACACCGATGCCTCCGGCGAGCTCGACCTGCACGAGCTGAAGTTTGCACTGAATGCCTTCGGCTTATTTCCAAGCCTCGACTACCTGAGGCCTGTTTTTGACTCCCAAGCCGGTCTCATGAAGCGTGAAGCCGCCGTATGGTGGAAAACACATTCCGCAAGTCAAAATAAGTAAGCCTACTTACGTGTCGCTCTGAAATCACAAGCTCTCTCGTGCCACAGCACTGCGACGAAGAGGATGCAGGGATGCACCCGCACGGATAGTGAAAGCAAACCTCGCAATGATTGCCCTGGCGTGGCCGGGAGCTGACGGACACGGGCATGTCGGAACGAGTGAAAAAGGAACCGGCTTCACCCGAGACAGCGCAACGTGCAAGAGCAGAGCTAGAGCGAGAATCAGGCCACGCAATTTGTTTTGATAGTTCGAGGCCCGAGGCTTCGACGATTGGTAAGCTCTTGAAAAACGTGGACTGTAAGTGTGCACAGGGACTGGATGGGACGCCACACCGGCATCGACCGGAAGACGTTCCACAATCTCCTGGACCAGAAGCTTGGAATTCGCAAGCAGGGTTGTGATTCAGAGTGGGTTTGGGTTTTGGTGTATATATATAATATATAATATAATATAATATAATATAATATAATATAATATAATATAATATAATGTAATATAGTATATATAAATAGATCTATATTTATATGTATATACATACACTTACAGTAGATTATACTATATGTTTTTATTATATCATGTTATAGTATATACTATATCGTATTCTATGTTTGTTCATTGTTTTATGAATTGTATTGGACTTTATTTTATGATACAATCTTACATTTTATATGTTGTATTATATTATATATATGCTTACACACACACTATATACATATATATATATATATATATACATATGTATATACATATATGTATACACATGACAAAAGACGACCTTTGAAGACCTGGATTCTTCGGAGGAAGGCTTGGCCCTCCGGGCCATCGCATGTGCACCTTCGAACCCCACAGTCACAGGCTCCACGGGTAATCTGAGAAGCGCGAAGGACATCGTCTTGCATACTGTAGAGGGCTTTTAATAGCCAAAAATCTAGGAGTCTTTTATAACAACTCTCTGAGCCAGGCATGTGCGTCTAAAGGCGTAGAAAGCTTATGTGTGACGGAGGTCCACCGCAACGTTGTGACGTGGGCATACGTTGAGCCTCAAATTGGCAATGGCAAGATCACCAGGTATGCTGGCATTAATCCTGGTGGCAATGAGGAAGAAAAAGAGGAATGACAGCAATAGGACCGGAAGTCCCAGGAAAACGGATGTCCTAGGAAGAAGCGCAGCGCACCGACGTCGATGAGGCGGCCACGGACCATTCCCTACGCCCGCCGAGGCGGCGCTGATCTCACAGCTCAGAGTTTCGGCTGTTTCTGAGCGTTGCTTCTGCAGGCTAGGAGAGTTCTGGGAGTTGCCGGAATCAGGAAGAGGGAGCATTGGGGCGACAGCCGAAGCTAAGAGCTACAATCAGTCCCGGCCCAGCAGAGATCAAGCTCAGCATCAGCAGGAGTCCGTATGCAGCAGTTGGATGACCTCCAGCATGCCTTCATTTCCAGCGGCTGGCTGAAGTCGAAGTGCGACATGTTCAACGAAGAGAACATGCCGCTCTCTTGCATTGCAGGTCTACACGGGTCGGCCAGCTCTACTATTTCCTAAATCATGTTCATGCATGCTGTGCTGTGCTGTGACAATATAGTAACATGCCTCTGCGGTCCAGCCAGACGTCACCAAGGACTGCGATTGCGAAGGGAACTGACTTCGCATTTCGGCTGATTTTGTTATCCATTTTTATTTACATGAGAGTGACTTGACACCCCTGCCATGTCGTAGTGCCGAGTCGACTTCGGACTGGGTACCCTAATTGAAGTGCAGACCCACAAGTGCCCACACGCCCGTGAACATGAACGATGCTAGGCGATGCAGGCCACATGGTGCAGATATGCCTCTAAACTAGGTGGCGACACTGGACGCTACGCAGTCTGAAACCTGAAGCAAGCGTGGCTGTGATCACATATGTCCCTATATGGGCTACCGGAAATCTGCATGCATTCATGACTTCCGGAATTCAGGAATTCATGTCTCATGAATTGACGAATTCATGGACGAACTCATCGTCGTAAGAAGTTGGGCATGACGATCGTTGAGCTGCAAGCATAGCCGACGGACTTCGAGACTTTGGGCGGTCATTGTGAGACTGGGAATTCCGGAGCCTGTCATATAAAGCCACTACGACAAGGGAGACCGAAAGGGGCTTCCACGACTGCCCGCGCCGAACTCTGTGTGTTGGACTTGTGAGTTGAGTGGAGACTTGATGAGTCGTCATATGCGTCGGGTAAAACTGCTTTTGAAACAGAGAGGCCGTCTTTCTGTTTTCCGGTCTTTGAGTTATTCTGTATCTTGCTGTGTGATGGTATAGTTGATTTGACAGAGATATCTGCAAGAGTGTCGCATCAGTGCTACTTGTAGTGGAGATCCTGTGGACTACGTGGAGCTTTGCTTGCCTTGTGCGAGTGTGAGTGTCGAATGCGAAATGTCTCGAAATCCGGAAATTCAGCAGCGTGGTAGCTTGCGATGTCTTTCTTTGACCAGACACCACATCCAACCCCGCTTCGCAGGAAGGGTTGTGGCAACTTTAGGGCACATTGTGGGCTTTCGTGAGTCCATCACTAGACTTTCCACATCGGAGTGGCTCGAACCAAACACAACCAAGCATTGTCCCTGAGGCCATGGACACGAACCTCTACGCACTGAATCGCTGGGTGATCATGCCAGGTGCTTCACGACTCGCTGTTTGCATCGTCCTATGAGACATGTAGGACGGAGAAAGACTTATTCTCACTCTGCCTCTCTTTGTCTCTCTCTGTTACATGCCGTGTTGTTTCCGTTACCATCACGGACGATGGCTCGTGAGCAGCGCATGTAATGAGCACGTATGCACCATGTGCAACCGGTTCACCCGGCACAGGCACATCGCCGAGCGCGGCGGAGTCCTTGCCCCCCGAGTTGCGCAGGCGGTCCGGTGCGAAACAGGATGTTGATACCGGGAATCAGAAAACAATGGTGGTGACGGCTTTGATCTTTGAGAAGTGAAGGTTGAAGGCGTAGGACGAGAACGATCGCGACGTTGGTGGTCAGGATGACAACGATGAATCTGGTGAAGCCGGTGGTGATGTCAAGTTTGTTGTTGAGGACACCAGCGGCTATGATCATGATCATCATCGAGATGATGGTGGTCATCATGCTCTTCTGCCATGTTGACAATGTCGGAAATGACGACGACAGTGGTAAATGATGGTGGCGATGGTGATGGATACTGATAGTGCTGATGATAATGATGATGAAGCTGCTGCTGCTGCTGCTGCTGCTGCTGCTGCTGCTGGTAGAGATGACGATTCGCTGTGCGTGCGTGTGTGGTTGCGGCTTGCCTCCTTAGCAACATGTAGCTGGCGAAGATAACCATGGTGATGGTGATGACGATGAGTATCGAGGTCATGATGGTTATGGTGATGGTATTTGTCATGTTTTGTGCAACCATGACGACCATCATACCGCAAACGCATCACCTCTACCTATGACAAGTATTCACCACGACTGCGAACGAGGATAGTTTGGTGGTCGGAATCGCATGGGGTCTTCAGACTTCTGGGCAGGTCAGCTGGCATGCCCGAGCCCACCCACGAGTCCTCCTACTCAGAGCTGATGAATTCTGTGGCTGGGCTTCAGTTTCGGGTCTTCTTGGAAAGAGTTGTTTCTGAACACCTTGGAAGTTGAGCCCTACATCGATCGGCCTATTAAGCGAGAAGCCTTGAGGGGCTTGGGCCACAGCCCGGGCTCGAAAGGTTTAGCTGTTCATGTTTCTCCAGGGTTCGCTACGAAAGCATGTTCAGTCCAACAGCGCGAGCCTCCGGCCTCTTCTCTCAGCTCCGAGGGCGGGCTTCCCGTTGACTACTTTGTCTCGCACTTCTGGGGCCATCCATTCCAGGACTTTCAGAGTGACGGGCACTTGGCCAATCTGAGTAGTGAAAGACATGAAAAGCCGTCAAGACCAAACTCATGCCCCACCCCTGCAGGACACCTGGTCATCTCTGAGCCTGTGGTCTTCGCATCTTGGACTTCGCGACAACTGTAGGGGAGTTGCACAAACTCCCGGAGTTTAAACTTGTTTGTTTTGTAGAGTCTGCTGTGATGCCACATCTCCGTCTCCGCTTGGCAGATCATCCGTGCTTGGTCGATGACGGTTGCTTGAGCCAAACCTGCCGATAGGAGAGTTGGGGGTCCAGGCTCGGTGCTGGTTCGGCCACGGAAGATTGGCAGAAGTGTGCCCATATATCGGGTGCGCATCCTGCCTTGCTTGAGGAAACCTATCGTCATGCTATACTGCTATAGATTTCTTTGGCCTACATTCATGTGTCCCCGTGTCTATATTCGTTTCAAGTTCATTGTACGTGTGTGCATATGCCTATTGTTGTGAACTTATATGTGCATCTCTGTGTGGGTTGTTGTTTATCATATGGTTGTTACCACGTGTTCATGGCGGCCAGTGACCTAGTGATGTTGAGCTTGGGCTGGCGCTGTCAGGGTCCGAGAGTCCCAGACTCCTGAACCCGGAACTGATAAGCCCTGATCACTGAGAGGGGCTGCCAGCCTAAGGCAAGTCCACTGGCAAATCGGGCCGCTTGATTAAAAGCAGAAAGTGAGGCTCCCGTGCTATGATGATCCCTCATGTGTGGCTTCAGGTTGGGGTTTGACTTTTCAGGGCCTCCGCAGAAGGCAGCCGCTCTTGTTGGTGCCTAGATTTTGCAGATCATTTGAGTTAGCACTGCTCGCGCTGCCAAGAGCCTCAGCTGGTGAAGTGACAAATTCTCTCACCGAAATGCTTAGTACCCCTACCACGACAGGCAGCTGTTCAGATTCACATCCCTCTAAAGACTATCGGGCCACACGGACAAGAAGTGGAATGAATGCCGTGACAACTGTCCAGAACAACTTCCTTCCTATCCGAGGAAGGAGCCTGAAAACATGGTTGCGGTCTCAGCAGCTGAAGTTGAGGGCTGCGGATCTTGGTGACACTGTTGCCGGCCTAAACCCTAAACCCCCGAAGCTCCAAAACCCTGGCTGGATTGTCCGAGTGTGAACGCCGAAACCCTAACTCTGCGCGTTGATTTCTAAGCCAAGAAATTATGCTATATGTATAACAGCAAAAAATAGTAAATAGTATAGTATACCATTTTATACCATATCATATCAGATTAGGCTATACACTTTACCAAGGTCTACTGGGTGTGCCTGCTGGCATTGAATCAGCATCAACCAGGCTCGAAGTCCGGCTTGGGTTGTTAGCGGGCTGAGGCATGATAACATAGTATGACACAGTACAGTATTATGTAGTATGGAGAGAGATGTCTTAATATTTTACATATACATGTATATATGTATGTATATATATATATATACACATATGTATATAACAACTTGTATATACATAGACATGTATAAAAATCCTGGCTTGCGACAGTCGTAACTTCCAGCCCGTTCTTACCAGCATACCATTCGGAGTATTTCTTGGCAAGATGTTGGGAACATGCGCAGCGAACTCGGAGTGCTGCGCAAACATCGACCAGATGGAAATTCCTAGGTGGTCGGACTTCCCGCCACTCTTAGCATCGCCTTAAATCGTTCTTGCGTGTCCGGGTACTTCCGTGGGAGCTATTTCGCCGGCAGCTTTCACAAACAGCATCAATGTAGCTCCAAGTGATGACTAAGCAGCGAAACACCGCCTTGAGGGCCAACTAGAGGCCAGTGGGGAAACATGCGGGACTGAAGACAACCGTGGACTCCCGAACTCGACCTGACCGACACACCGGAAGGGTTCTTCAGCGCAGAAGAAGACGGCATCTCCTGTTCAGACCTGAAAACGTGTGCTGCTCCCTAGGCCCCATTCTTCTTCCATCAAGCCGTGGGCCCATAGGTCCCATACACCCTACTGACGACTTGGTGTTACGGAACTGGCCTTGAAATGCGTAGTGGTTTGAACGTTTTGAAGGCGAAGAGGTTGGTGGCTCTCCGGAGGACGGGGCGACAACCTGGGACCCAGGGGAGAGTGCTGCCGGTTTCAGGGTGTTAGCCAGTGTACAGAGGCTGTTTGTGCAAAGCTGGCTGACATTATGTTGAGTCCTGTCCTTGCGCTGTCTCCCAAGTGTGCCCAAAGATACGTCGAAGAGTTCAGTGGGTTCCAACGGCCTAGCCATGATACTGTTATCCCTCCTGCTGTTCGCATCAGCTTGGCTGGCCGACAGTGTCGACAACGCCGCCTGTATCGCCGACGATTGCTCCGCCAAGGACACCTCCGTTCTTCTGCAACACAGGGGACGAGTCACGGATCGGATAACTGGGAAAGGCTTGGCACTCGAGGGTGGAGGATTCATGGCACACGCTGCGCACACCGGGGTCTTGACAGCGCTGCTGAATGCCACACGAGCAACGGCAAAGGGTGCCGAGCCGAGTCTGACAGAGCTCATGAAGAACGTGAAGGTCATCTCGACGATCAGTGGGGGCTCCTGGTGGTTGTCCCAGCTGGCCTACTCGCCAGCCTTTCTCACTCTGATTGAAACCATGGCGGTTGATCCGAAAAGGGCCGGAGCCCTGTACCAGGAGCGGTGGATCAACCTCTTTCTCCTGGCTGTCCTGGAGTCCGACCTCTCCCCAGTCCCAGCCCCCACACAAGATCTGGGTGGTGCATATTCCGACAGCTTCAATCTCAAAACAGTGCTGGAGAGCCAAACACCCATGCCAGAGAAGAGGAAGAGGCAGCCTCGGAGCAGGAAGAAGGAAGCCAAGTATGTGAACAATGACCGAGGCGTTGGGGACTCCTTTGGTATGAACTTCATCGAGTTGTTGATTGAGGTTTTCTTCCTGGCCAGGAATCCGGGCGGTTCAAGCTGGCAGAAGGTTGTGGCAGAAATCTTGCGCAGCACCAGCCTGGGTGATATGACGGGCTCCGAGATCCTGGGATCGCCAGTGAACGAGTGGGCAACGGGCAAGTGGTGGCTGGCTGGGACCAGCATCAGCACGCCGGGGGGTAGAGGCCCGGGGACCTGCCAGTGGTTCAAGTTCCAAGGGGGCTGCGCGTTGCAGCTCATTGGCTCACCGGGCAAGACTCTCATTTTCGAGAACGGCACTGATGTGGGGAATGCATGGCTGTATTCTGCACCTCCTTGGTGGAAGAGCACTGCTGCCTGGACACCGGCTCGCTTCAGCACCGTGCTCGGTGCGGGTGCTGGACAACCTGCACCCATGAAGTTCTGCGAAAAGGACTGCGAGAACCTGCGGCTCCAGTACCAGGCTATTGGTGAGACAGCTGTCGCCGAAAAGGAAGGCAATCACGCTTTCTTCGCCACTAGCAACACATCCCTGTTCTCGGCAGTAAGTGGGTCCTCTGCATTTGCCGGTTTCACTGTAATTCTTGACGTGATCCTACCTTCCATTATCACTGCGATTATGGCTGCGGTGAAGAAGCTAAAAGTAGTGCTTCCTTCAGCACTGGCAGAGAAAATACAGGAGGGCATTTCCAATCTTTTGCACGCAAGGCTGGCGGTTTGGTCCGAATCAGCCAAGAACGGTGTGCTGGCCTTTGAAGAGGCGTCGGCCACCTTGAGGGAAATCACGAAGTCACAGGGCCGTCCGCCGAACCTTTCCTTGGAATCTGTGGCAGAGCGGGGGCTCATGGCACTCGTGGATGGAGGCATGACGGACAACACTGGCATTGGCCACGCACTCGCTTCCGGCCGGGACGAGGTCATCTGCTTCGAGCCGTCCATTGCTAATGTCTGGCAGCTGATGGGTGGCATGCAAGACCACGTTGACCTGTTTGCCGTTCCCGATATTATTAACACTTGCCCTATGTGCTTCGCGGCTTTTCAACTGTTCAATGAGAACTACATGGATGTCCAGTGCCAATGGGACAATGTCTCGACGCGGCTTTGGATCGATCCCGAGCGCGTGCACAATCTGAACTCCCTCAGCGTTGGCACGCTAACCCTGACCACAAAAAAGAACGACTACTTTGGCGTCTCCGATGGTCGCAGGGTGGTGCTCCACATCGTGAATGTCAACACCTCGATTGGAATAGGAGGTTACAACTACTACGACTACCCTAAGCTGGTCCAGGACATAGTGACAGTCTTTCTAAGTCCAAGCAACAAGAAGGCAACAGCCACGATCTTAGACTGGTTCCTCTGAGTTTCTTTCGATGTGGGAGGTTTGAGAACTCCCTCCCTCCATAGGCCCTGTAATTCGAAAGCCAGTGCTAGGCCTGACAAGTGAGCCCAGAGCTTTTGGTTTCTGTGAGTTTGATGTTGGTGAGTCTGAGATGAGCGGTAATAGTCATAGTAGAGGTGAGGTAGACTCGCTTTTGCAAGTGTGTTCACTTTCACGCAGGGGTGGTGAACAACACCGCCTCTGCCTAGCATCTGCCATGCTTTTGGGGGCCCCGCATTCCTCGTTTCGAGCGTCGGATCTGGATTTGCGGCATCGCGCTCAAACATGTCGGAACAGTCCAGGCTGCCAAGCTCTGCAATATTAGTTGTAGAGAGTGAGAGTCGAGATCGTCAGGAGGGCCCTTTCAATGCCGCGTTGGTGCAAAGCGCATGCGGGGCAGCCTCCTGACAAAAAATAAAGGGTGGAGACTCCCGAGACAGGGGCAGCATCCGCGGACTGCATCCAAGTAGATCCACAGTACAGTGTACACCGAGGGCCATGCCGGCTTTTGGACGCTAAGTTCAGACAGCAGATGCGAAGTAGTCCTGAAGCCGGTCCCGCTGCGCCGAGGTCATGGTTGTTGACGAAGATGTCTCCCCGTTCTCGAGGAATGGATGTGATATAGCGTGAGACAGATTTGCAGCCAGGTTTCCTGCGACCTCGTAAACTAAGTGTGCTTCGTCCTTGCTTCCGACTCCTGCCAGAGCTCACGAATTTAGACATCTTAGACTAGACATTGTACATGCATGCATACGCATATATATATATATATATATATATATATATATATAAATATATATATATATATATATATATATTTATTTATACATATATATATATATATATATATATATACATATATATATATATACATACATATACAAATACACAGACGGAAACGGGTTGTTGCCATTGCTGGCTTGTAACAGCCAATTCCGCCACCGGCAGCTCGCCACTACATCCACACTCCCTGCGACTGCCACCTCTGAGATTGCAAGATACAAAGACTTCACGTGCAAATGACGTCTGGTATGCTTCTAATCATAGTCACTGCCTCGCCCCCATTGGCCTGCAGGATCTGGTGTCTCTTCGAAGTGAAGCGCCTCACAGATCTGAAGAAGGACGAGTATGCGTTTGGCCGTCTTCGTCTTGGTACTGCATGACATTCTGTGAGATTGCGGAAATGGCAGGGTACGTATGACTGTTGGAGTATTTTAGAGGTCGACTGAACGAATTCAGCTTCTAGCTACACAGTAACACCATACTGCCTCATTGAACGGCACATGGAGGCTCTTATAGGTCGTCAGGTGCGTGCTGCTGCGCTGTGCATGTCAAGGATTCGTACAACTCACCGCTTGCGCTTGCAGCGCATCCTTGAAGGCACTTTCTTTGGACCGAGTGCAGGATTTTCACTTGATATCTTCCTGTGGTGCTATGGGCTCCAACCTGCAGATGGTCGCAGAGGACGAGAAGAGGCCGGGAGGATCTGCGAAGCTTCTCGGGCCGAAGGCTTCCAATGACAGTTTTGAAGTCTGAGCTTAAACCTCATATGCAACGCATCAAAGGTCTGTGAAGGCGATGCGTTAGAGCTAGTATAGGGGATAAGGGATGATGCCTTGGCTAGAAGTAGTTGTAGCCGTCGTCGTCGTAGTGGTAGTAGTCGTAGTCGTAGTCGTCGTAGTAGTCGTAGTAGTAGTAGTAGTAGTAGCAGCAGCAGCAGTAGAAGTAGTGGCAGCAGTACTCTTGGCAGTAGCATGAGCAGTGCAACAGTAGCAGCAACAGGAGCAGGAGCAGTAGCACTAGCAGTTGCAGTAGCAGTAGTAGCAGTAGCAGTAGCAGTAGCAGTAGCAGTAGTCGTCGTCGTCGTTAGGAGTAGGTGGCCACCCATTCGACACGCCGTTTCCGCGGCTGTTGTGAGCAGCTTGCCGGGAGATGATTGCCGCATAGCAGAAATGAATCGTGCAGGGAGTATAGAGCCGCTGTGCGATGATTGTAGTAATACTGGTACGTCGTCATACTCTTTGCGGTTCCCTTGCAGTCCCCACCATAGTTACAGCACAACATGTCCCCAAACGGCCTTCTGAATATTCAGGGGGCTTGTCTGGGCTTTCAACTTGTTCAAGCAATGATGGCTCATGCCATGGCTCAACCGAACAAGTCGCGAGCGCGGCGCTTTCGTTGTTGACTCCCAGAGCATCCCTTGCCAATTGCGCGCGCAGGCAGGCTCTCTTGGACTTCACCCGCCGTGTGGCTGGTGCACTGTCGCAAGTGTCGGCTTTCGAGGCGATTTGGGATGTAACATCTCACGGGCGACTCAGGGCGTGAATTCGAGGTGTGGAGGAGCACGCGGCATTTCCTGACCTGGTGTCTCGACAGAGTCGGGGCGCACTAGACCATGCCCGAGTTTGCCTCCGTGAGGAGTCTTATTGATCCAAACGCAGAGCCACGAACCCGATACTTATGCTGCATGTAAACCGACATCCGATTCCCAGTGCTAATGCGACCCTGAAGGCCAGGTCCAGCAGCGAGGAGGACAAGCTGCCTGGCATGAAACTTTTGTGGCAGACCAGGTCAGCTCCCAACTGGTGCACCACTGTGCCAGGACGTACAGTTTGTGTCGCATGCAGCAGTTGTGCCAACACGCCCTTTTGCACCCCCTTCACCCGTATGTTTAACGAAGGGCAGAAATTCCCCCACTGGCCAGGCCACGTAATATTCAACTTCCTTGTTCGTCAACGAAACACACCTATAGTACCTATAGCACGACCAAACTTTCATTCTTCCGACGGGGAAGAATTCGTGAATTGGTTCGTTAGCCCGAGGTCTTGAGCCCCTCGGTCAAGTAGCCTCCATGTCCCTTCGCCATGGCTGCACACACGGTCGCCTCACTCTGCCTTGCGGTACGTATGTTCGGCTCTGGTATCACGGTGTGCTCGGGGGACTCAGTGGTTCTGCAGCTACGGCTGTTACGCAGTTCTCGCCATGAACGCACCTGAAAGATAAGTACCAGCAGCGGTCAGCAAAAGTAAGTGCTGAGGTTCCCAGCACCAAGATTTTTTTGGAGAATCTGGCACGAGCAGGTTTGCGATTTGGCATCGAGTGGCCGATCCGCATCTGCGCAGAATGCCTTTGGCCATTGCCCGCGCGGCTCGGCTGCGGTTCGATGGTGTCAGCCGATGTGCCAACTGGATTGTATCATACCTTGTTGTGTGGGTTCGGGATTTCGGCTTCACCACCATGCCCGTGTGACATCGTGTGACCAACTTGTAATTGTTTCAGCCCGGAAGATTCCTCAATATCAACACGGCTCTCGAGAACCGTACCTGTTCATCCGTCGCCCAAGCCACGGGCTTCGGTTTCAGTACACAAGGCTTGACCGCCCATTCGAAAAGCACGTAGGCAACAACTGCTGATCTTACAGTGCCGCGGTGCACAGTACTTCGTTCGCGCTAAGACTGAGCTGTTCTTGCAACTCCGTGTCGTGCAGGAGCGGAAGCTCTTCAACCCCAATTCCTTCAAGCGCTTTGCTCCTCAGTTCGAGCTGGCGTCTGATTGCGTTCTCATGTGGGAGTTTCTTGGGGTCCTTGCAATGAGGAGCCTACTATTTCGGGTACTACAGTAGGGACGCCTGTTTTCGGAGGCTCTCTTGCGGTACTCGTCTCTAAATGTCCGTTGATACAATGTTTCAGACGCAAAGGACGATCGCAACACTGCATCTAGACCAATGTGGTGGACTAGACTGACGATAATGTAATATGTTAAGATAACATAACAGTGACATTTTCTGACGTAACATGATACCGTCTCATACAATCTGATCGAATATAACATTTTATAATCTAGAAACGCCGCCTCAGAAGGAAGACGCCTGAAATGCCAATCCACTGCTTCAAGGACACGACCATTCGAAGCCTGCTGGCTGCACCCCTCTTCCAGACGAGTCTTCAGGAGGAGGCGTGGGGGTTCCACAGGTTCCCTGCTGCATCTGCAGAGGTCCAAACCAGCTTTCACCAAAGTTTCTGAGACAGCTGATCGGATCGTGACTGTGAGATACTTTGAGAGAAGATCAGGTTCGGATTGCGTGTTGCTGTAGCCGTTGTTGTGGTAACACCGCAGAACACCTGCGGCATTAATTTCAAGCAGACTTTCGAAATTATCGACCCCTCGCCTAGACTAGCTGAGAGTCCTTTGTATACTGCTGGTACGAAGGCCCCTACGGAAACTGCTAAGTTTCTTGTTTGCAGTGATGCCAGTGTTGTCGAGCCGTTCCCAACACGGGCATATTGGTTACGGTGATTCAGAGATGTTCCGACGGGTGGAAGGATGGAGCGTTCTTGTTCATGGCCAGAGGAATCGGGGTGGCGGGGGAAACCCTTGCCTTGGTGCAGGATGCGGCCAGTGCGCTCCGTTCCTCAGATTGGAAAAGTCGGATGACGTAAGCTGAGCTGCGGGCCACTTAGTGGCTTAGTGGGGAAAGTCGGAGTTCTACCAAGAGCTGGTCAGACGGCGAGCCACCGTCATCATCTTGCCTTCAGGTGTTCCTTGTGCATCGGAGTATGTTGCATGGACCTGCGGGTCCATTTAGAAGAGGCAAACCAGGAAGGAAGAGTCGCATGTTTCGATGCGGGTTCAGGCTGTTTTGGGGGGTCAGTGAGACGGCTGAGCGTGAACGAGCACGACGATCGTGACGCTTCCTCACCTAGACGTTCTAGCCTGTCCACCTTACTCACGCATCTGAAACAAAGCATAGCAAACGGCACGGGCGGGGGGAATAGTGAAGTATGATGAAGTAGCTGTTGCCAGCCGGTCCAAATTACAGGCTATTCCCTAAGCCCGCAGCTTGCCTTCGTTCGTATTATCGTTGGGGCTTGTGCGTCTCGGGTTCTTTCAGAAGAATGATGTCAAGGTAGCAAGCCCAGCCGACACCAAGCCATGCCCGGCGAGTGGGAGTGTATGAGTCGAAACCCACAGCCTGGCTCCTGACGCCTTCCAGCTAGAATCGGCATCATGTGTGCATATACATGTATCTATGTATGTATGTATGTATGTAATTATGTATATGTATGTATATATTATGTGTATTTGTTTATGTGTGCATATATATTTTTGTGTGAGATTATATATTTGTACACACACAATATTCTACAATACATACAACCTTGGTGGCCGTTTCGGGGATTTTTAATTTTTTGGTGTTTTGTGGGGTTCATTGCATACAACCAACTGCAGCCTTCAGGCTCGAGGGGTCAGACCAGGCATCAATCCAACCAGGTGTTTCCAGTGGGAACACCTGGTTGGAGTTGATGCCTGTCGGGGGATGCACGGACATCCCTCACCCCTGCAAGATGTCTGTGGTCCCACCACCGACATCTTGCAGGGGTGAAGGATGTGCGTGCATGAACCCCGACCGAGGCCCCAGCGTGCATGGATAGAGACATCCATCACCCCCGCAAGATGTCTGTGGTCCCACCACTGACATCTTGCGGGGGTGAGGGATGCCCGTGCATCCCCGACCGAGGCCCCAGCGTGCATGCACAGACCCAGAACAATGCACCAGGCTCGGTCAGACCCCAGCATGCATGCACAGACCAATGCACGAGGCTCGGTCAGACCCAGAACAATGCACCAGGCTGGGTCAGACCCCAGCATGCATGCACAGACCCAGAACAATGCACCAGGCTCGGTCAGACCCCAGCATGCATGCACAGACCAATGCACGAGGCTCGGTCAGACCCAGAACAATGCACCAGGCTGGGTCAGACCCCAGCATGCATGCACAGACCCAGAACAATGCACCAGGCTCGGTCAGACCCCAGCATGCAGGTCCAGGCTCAGTCAGTCAGACTACAGTAGGTGGTGGCTCCAAGGCTCCCAGGCTGCCAGGCTCAAGGCCCACCCCTAACCCGTGCCGCCATGTCTTCATGGACTTCGTCGTGATCACTCTTCGGCTGTGGCCGCAGCCGCAGCCGCAGCCTCAGGGGGGGGGGGGCAGGAATAAATAAATTTAAATTTAATATACATATATTAATATTAAATATATATCACCACATGCAATGACAGTCAGCTGCTTTGACTTGCGATTCCTGTCACGGCGGCTCCCAGGCACTTTAGGCTCCCAGGCACTTTAGGCTCCCAGGTTTCAGTCAGTTCCACTGAGGTTTCCTGCCGACGGCCGCCGCGGCTCTTCGAAGACAAGCCGCCAGTTTTGCATTTACCCGTGGAGTGTTGCATGCATGCCTTGAGTGTTTGCCGTGCACCACATGCAATCACAGTCAGCTGCTTTGACTTGCGAGTGTTGCCACTGGAGTGTTTGCCGAGCACCACATGCAATGACAGTCAGCTGCTTTCACTTTAGGCTCCCAGGCACTTTAGGCTCCCAGGTTTCAGTCAGTTCCACTGAGGTTTGAACACCTGCCGACGGCCGCCGCGGCTCTTCGAAGACAAGCCGCTAGTTTTGCATTTACCCGTGGAGTGTTGCATGCATGCCTAGAGTGTTTGCCGTGCACCACATGCAATCACAGTCAGCTGCTTTGACTTGCGAGTGTTGCCACTGGAGTGTTTGCCGAGCACCACATGCAATGACAGTCAGCTGCTTTCACTTTAGGCTCCCAGGCACTTTAGGCTCCCAGGTTTCAGTCAGTTCCACTGAGGTTTTGAACACCTGCCGACGGCCGCCGCGGCTCTTCGAAGTTTGAAGACGAGCCGCCAGTTTTGCATGCACCCGTGGAGTGTTGCATGCATGCCTAGAGTGTTTGCCGTGCACCACATGCAATCACAGTCAGCTGCTTTGACTTGCGAGTGTTGCCACTGGAGCGTTTGTCGAGCACCACATGCAATGACAGTCAGCTGCTTTCACTTTAGGCTCCCAGGCACTTTAGGCTCCCAGGTTTCACTCAGTTCCACCGAGGTTTCCTGCCGAAGGCCGCCGCGGCTCTTCGAAGACAAGCCGCCAGTTTTGCATTTACCCGTGGAGTGTTGCATGCATGCCTAGAGTGTTTGCCGTGCACCACATGCAATCACAGTCAGCTGCTTTGACTTGCGAGTGTTGCCACTGGAGTGTTTGTCGAGCACCACATGCAATGACAGTCAGCTGCTTTCACTTTAGGCTCCCAGGCACTTTAGGCTCCCAGGGCTCCCAGGTTTCAGTCAGTTCCACTGAGGTTTTGAACACCTGCCGACGGCCGCCGCGGCTCTTCGAAGACAAGCCGCTAGTTTTGCATTTACCCGTGGAGTGTTGCATGCATGCCTAGAGTGTTTGCCGTGCACCACATGCAATCACAGTCAGCTGCTTTGACTTGCGAGTGTTGCCACTGGAGTGTTTGTCGAGCACCACATGCAATGACAGTCAGCTGCTTTCACTTTAGGCTCCCAGGCACTTTAGGCTCCCAGGTTTCAGTCAGCCCCACTGAGGTTTTGAACACCTGCCGACGGCCGCCGCGGCTCTTCGAAGTTTGAAGACAAGCCGCCAGTTTTGCATGCACCCGTGGAGTGTTGCATGCATGCCTAGAGTGTTTGCCGTGCACCACATGCAATCACAGTCAGCTGCTTTGACTTGCGAGTGTTGCCACTGGAGCGTTTGTCGAGCACCACATGCAATGACAGTCAGCAGCTTTCACTTTAGGCTCCCAGGCACTTTAGGCTCCCAGGTTTCACTCAGTTCCACTGAGGTTTCCTCCGACGGCCGCCGCGGCTCTTCGAAGACAAGCCGCCAGTTTTGCATTTACCCGTGGAGTGTTGCATGCATGCCTAGAGTGTTTGCCGTGCACCACATGCAATCACAGTCAGCTGCTTTGACTTGCGAGTGTTGCCACTGGAGTGTTTGCCGAGCACCACATGCAATGACAGTCAGCTGCTTTCACTTTAGGCTCCCAGGCACTTTAGGCTCTCCCAGGTTTTCAGACTTGCCGAGCTCTTGTTGCCACTGCCGAGCATGCATGCCGTGGAGTGTTGCCCCTGGTCAGTGTTTGCCCAGCACCACATGCAATGTCACAGCTCCCAGGCACTTTAGGCTCCCAGGTTTCAGTCAGTTCCACTGAGGTTTTGAACACCTGCCGACGGCCGCCGCGGCTCTTCGAAGACAAGCCACCAGTTTTGCATGCACCCGTGGAGTGTTGCCCCTGGAGTGTTTGCCCAGCACCACATGCAATGACAGTCAGCTGCTTTGACTTGCGAGTGTTGCCGCTGGAGTGTTTGCCGAGCACCACATGCAATGACAGTCAGCTGCTTTGACTTGCGATTCCTGTCACGGTGACTCCCAGGCACTTTAGGCTCCCAGGCACTTTAGGCTCCCAGGTTTCAGTCAGTTCCACTGAGGTTTTGAACGCCTGCCGACGGCCGCCGCGGCTCTGCGAAGACAAGCCGCCAGTTTTGCATTTACCCATGGAGTGTTGCATGCATGCCCAGAGTGTTTGCCGTGCACCACATGCAATCACAGTCAGCTGCTTTGACTTGCGAGTGTTGCCGCTGGAGTGTTTGCCGAGCACCACATGCAATGACAGTCAGCAGCTTTCACTTTAGGCTCCCAGGCACTTTAGGCTCCCAGGTTTCAGTCAGTTCCACTGAGGTTTTGAACACCTGCCGACGGCCGCCGCGGCTCTTCGAAGACAAGCCGCTAGTTTTGCATTTACCCGTGGAGTGTTGCATGCATGCCTAGAGTGTTTGCCGCGCACCACATGCAATCACAGTCAGCTGCTTTGACTTGCGAGTGTTGCCGCTGGAGTGTTTTCCGAGCACCACATGCAATGACAGTCAGCAGCTTTCACTTTAAAGGCTCCCAGGCACTTTAATGTGAGCTCGTGATTATTAAAGGTCCCCTCAATAGAGCTAAACTCGGCCCGGCACACAATAATAAAAGGTCCCCTCAATAGAGCTAAACTCGGCCCGCACACAATAATAAAGACCCCTCAATAGTCCTAAAACCCGTCCCGTCCTAAAATTTTTAAGGGTTAAGTAGAGAAGCACTCCTACTACAAACTGACGCCCTGGAAGAGGAGAGACAGAAACAGGCAAGATAAAGGACAGAGAGATAGCCAGCCAGCCAGACTTAAGGGTTTACAGCTTTGAAGAGCTCCCTGGTCCTGTCAAGAGAGGCACCTTGCTCCGCTTGAGAGCCTCTTTGCGCATGAGATACTTGAAGAGAAAATCATGATCACAAGAGAGGCAGCCCCCCTGCCAGCGGCAGCGAGAGCACCTCTGCAGGCCGAAGAGGTAGAGGTGCCGGATCTCAGAGACAGCTTCCTTGGAGAGATCGCTCCACCGGAAGAGGCTGTTGTTCTCTTCGAGAGTCTTTTTCGCTGCAGCCTTTGCAGAGGCCTTGAGCTTCGCAGAGGCTGCGAGAGCCTTGGCAGCCTTGGCCTGAGAGGCCTCCAGCGCTTTGGAGAGCTTCAGAGCCTTCTGCTGAGAGGCCT